ACACTCTGAGCAGCTAGCAGCCTTCTGGGGAGTGAGGAGATGGACAAGTGTCAGGCAGAGAAGGGGAGCCAAACTGAGTGTCAACAGAACCAGCAGAGAAAAGAGGAACGAGAAGGACAAAAGAGGAAGGGATGTGCTAAATGGCATAAGGGCAGAGAGGGGAAGGAACAAAATGCTGAGGGAGGGAAAGAACCCGTGACAGTGACAGGAAATGTTTTCTTATCTATGAAAAGATCCAAGTAGAAAAAAAAAAAAAAAAAAAAAAAGGCTAAAACCTCAATGCTTGGAGTTCTCTGACAAAATACCTTCCTTTCTTTGGAAATGGCAGTCCTCAGAGCAAGTTGCAAATTCTGCTTCAACAAAGCTACCATTGCCACTGCAGTCGAAACAGACTGTTAAGGATCCTGTGTTAATAAAAAGCTGGATCCATATAGAAATTACCTTTGCAGTATCATCTTCTATGTGTATGTGTTAGAAATAATTTCAGTAAAAGCTTATCTAAAAAATACCACTGGGAAGAAATTCTCTATTCTTTCATTCTAGAAGGAATAGGTGGTTTTGCTCATATTGTCTGGAACAAATTAGAGCAATGTCTGCTTTGTCCCCTCTTCCTACCACACATCTTAGCAATTTTTATCCCATCATCAACTTTAGGACATGTTCCTCCATGGGAGCTGAGGGTAGTGTGGGTATTCATAGTGAGGGATGCCAGGATAACCTATCCACTTGGGCTGTTGGAGCTTCCAGGGGAGTGAGTACCTGAATTCCTGCAACAGGCATCTTCATTTTTGTAGCAAGAAGCTTCATGCTCTGGATCCAGAAAAAAAACTTTACCACAGCTGCAGATCTCTGTACTTTGGTTCTGAAGCATCTGCCTGGGAAGCTGGCTGGAAACAAGGACAAAAATATTCTCTGCTTGTGCTACATCCGGAGTCTATTTACTGTGACATTCTTTGGTGCACCATTTTGGCTTCAAACAACAGCCTGGTTAATTGGGAACTTCTTGACCAGCTGTGGTCTGAAGTGCAGCAGATCTGCTAATAAAACTGAGGGGACGGAATTTATACACACAAATAGGCAAATGAACCAGACCTCTTTTTTTACTTTATCCTGCTCCCTCAGAGGAAGGATAACAGGACTCAGCATAACTGAGCAAATATGGAGGATTATGTGGGTATAGGTGAAATTTCTCTACATTATAGTATGCCCCCAAGAATTAGGCAGGGACTTTCAATATAACAACCTTTCAAGACTGGGTATTTGTCCTAAAGTTCACACTGAATTTCAGTCTTATATTTTGCATTTTGACTACTGCTTAGTTCAGACCCCACCCCCACCAATATCTTTGACATCTGGAAAGAAAATATTAGTTAAAAAAGTTACCTGACTTATCAAGGAATGGTAACAGATGAATGATGGTGATATTTTTTCTGTATGAACCACTTCTTCCAGCATGCCCTGTAACATTATGTTATAGCTTGTCTGTCTTTCTCTAGGTGGAGTAACCTCTCTGTTGTCTTGTAGCTAAAAATAGGCAGTTAGGCTTTATTGCCAGCAGCTGCTCCACTCCAGAAAAAGAGGCCTCCCTCCATTCTGATTACCAACATGGTCTGAAGGTTTTATTCAACACTACAATTGGCAAAATGGCAAACCACTGAATGATGTGCCTAAGCATGCAATTACATTATAATTCTTGAGTGTAATACTCTGCACAGTTGCTACAATGCTCAGCTGAATCTTGAAGCAGTTAGTTGACCATCTTATTCTCTGAAGATGATGGTTTATGGTGGAATAAATTGTAGGCACTGAACTTGAAAATAGTGAAGCACTTCACATGTTTAACCCTATATTCAGGACAGAAATTAAAGATTATTACTTACGCAGAATACATAGCAAGACTAAACATGTTATTTAACCCCAGAGACCCTTAAGCTAGAGATGAAATTTACTGCATGTGGACATAGTTTGTTAAACAGGCTCGTAGATTGATACAAGGTAATAACCAGCTCTCAAACAAGCAGTATAATTCCATACTCAGAAACATAATTTATTTTTACAAGAAAACTATTTATAAAGTATTTGAGACACACTGAACGTACAAAAGCAGTAACACAAAGACATTAAGTAGTAATGAGTAATTACTAATGAGACAACAAGGTTTTCTTATATAGCTTTTAGGTTTCTTATTTCCTCTAGATGAAAAATACTTTTACATTGTAATGTTAGTTCAGTTAAGATGAAAATTCTGCCTCCAGTGTGACTTTGCACAACCACAATCAAGAGTCAGTACCCTTAGTTCAAAACAGTGCCACTAGCTCGACCCAGCAAAAGCAGGGACAGAATATACTAAAGATCATGGCAGTTAGATGAAGATTATGGTAATGATGGAGCCAAATTATTCATCTGCCACTGAACTATGTCGGGTAGCTCAGGAATTGCTGTACAGAAGCCATATCTCTTTCTGGCATGTGTTCTGCATGAGTGGAACAGCTTACCTGCACTGAAGAGTCTGTTTTCAGACTGTGGATGTCTTTTCACTGCGCTTGCAGAGTGCAGCATGACGTATTTAAGGTATATTGAATTATCAGTGCTAAAATACAGTTCACTAATTTAAATTACTTTTTCATTCACTAAGTCCTTGGGCTTTCGTTGTATAGGTGACGTGTTTCGTTTGCTTCTTTGTTCTGTCAGAGCCATCCATATATGGCATGCTGAAATTGTTAGTGCTGGTTATGTGTCATCACATAAATGCTTTATTTTGTTACCAGGTGTCTTTTCTTCCAGGTTTGGCATTTAATTGTCAAGATGCATTTAAGTTTCCTAAATTGTATAATCTAATTTAACAAAAATTGCTGGAAAAACAAGTAAATGCACTCACAAAGGTGAAACATTATTTCATTTATTAATTTTTTTCTAAAGACATGATTATTCAGTGTGCTGTCTCATTGCTATTTATCAGCATTTGTTTAAGGCTGCAACTGAACAAAGAATAGTAAATGCAGTTTAGTGTATAAAGGCAAGGTCACATGGCCTTGGCTTTAGTTAATTTATCTTTCATGACAGATTCTATTTTCTGCTACTATTATTATTACCAGAATTACATTTCTCCCATGACAGTGCATCTGGAGCTCTTGCATTGCCAAACTTAGTGGTAGCATTTAATTTGTGTGACATTATTCAGTTATCAAGAAAAAGTGCATGCTGAGAAACACTGTAGTTAGTTAATGACAACAATAAAAAATGAGTTCTTTTAAGGAAGAGTAACGCCACAAGTACTTTGCTAAAAACAATTCTTTCTGAGGCTACACTATCCCACTTCTGTCATGGGAACCTGGGCATTCACCAAGCAGATCTCCAGATGAAGGTTAATAGGTATATATGCTGAGACAGGAGACATAGAATGAGTTTAACAATTAAATTTTATACCTTTTCCCTTAAGTAATGGCAGCTGGACAACATACAAAGACTGCAGCACTGAATTATATGAAAGGCACACTAAGCTCACCCTAGTCTAAGTCATTTTTCTGGGGAAGATAATCTCTACATATGTAATTTTCAGCAGAAAGGAATCTAATCCATCCTTGGAGACCTACACTGATGAAGAAGCCATGTAACTCAGCATGTATTTCCTGTAATATTATATACACACGACTTTGTATGCTTATATCCATATTAACTGAAATACAAATATACCCATGTCAGGAGTAGCTGTAAACAGGAAAACTTCATGGAAGGTCCTACCAGGATTGTACAGGGCTCTGCTCTTGACAAATCATAACTTATTATCTTTATGTACAAATTGAAATACAAAGTAAAATGACAATACAGGTTTTGGAAATCATGGAAACTGCTGAAGTTCTAAATTGGACAGATGATAACTGTAGAGAATTAATAATTTAGTAGGGTGGGCTGATTTTAATATAATTTTAATACAGATAAATTTGCACTCATATATCTAAGGAAGAAAGAGCGTAGTTTATATAGACAGGATTGGACTAAGTATTTCAAAATGACAGAACATGAAAAGAAGCCAGGGTCTTGTTAGATAATTAACTGAACATGAGTTTGCAGTGGGATGATGCAATTACAGAGTGAATGTCAGCCCTGAAGCCTAAGCACGGAAAATATGAAGTGAGAGTAGGAAGGTGATTATTAGCTCTGTTTATAGCAAATGTAAAACCACGACAGGAATGCTGTGTGCAACTCTCATACCCACATTTCAGAGTAGACTATCTGATAAACCACATAGTCATAAAGTCCTGCAATAAACATGAGGCCTGAAAGGCAGAGCTTATTGTGAAAAGCTAGGAATGAGCAAGCTGCCTGTCTTATTCAAAAGACAAGTAAAGACTATTGTAAAAGATGATTTTGATTATGACTGGCTTTTTAGTATAAGAAGAAAGGGCATAACAAAGGACAGTATGGGATATTATTCTCTTGAAAAATTGGTATGTAAGATTTAACTGCAAATAAAGCCCTTAAAAAAAGCCCAAACCACCCAGTGAATAATTACCCACATCTTTGATGAGGTGATGAATCTTCCACTCTGTACTCATGTGTCTAAAGGTCCTTCTTGGGATATTGCACTTCTAAGAGGCATTACAGACTGGCTGCTGAGACTTACAGCTGAGGTGCTGCAACTTGCAGGAGGATAATGATCTCTTCCAACCTCAAAGTCTATGATTAGGTGACTAAGACAATTATACTTTGTTTGAATTCTATCAAATAATACTGATGTATACCTGCTGAGGAAGAAGTTCTAAGTTCTTTGAGTTTCAAAATAAGGCAATATACTTCACTGGTTTTGGACAGATTTTTTTTGTCACTAAAATCCTGCTGAATCATTGGAAATGGAAACAGATCTTAATTTTGTTTCTACTGAGATTAGTTGTGCTGAATACAGAAGAATCACATCCTTCAGTATGTAATTTTGTTTTCATATTCATATATTTGAAATAGTATCTGTTAAGTAGTCCTGACTGCAAAAACATCAGACTGTGTTTTCAATAAATAATTTCACTTTAATGGCAAAGTAATAATTTAGACAGATACAGTGTGCACACCTGCAAAAAAAAAAAAAAAATACGCAAGCTGGTTTACAAGCTAGAGGAACAATAAACCAATAGAAAATACATCATCCAGTTAAGTCCGATGACACCAAATACTTATTATTAGGGTTTTACAAAGACTACAAAAATTTTCAGATGATTTATTTCACTGTTTCTGTCTATTTACAAAATATGTTACATCAAAAATGTACAAAATATAAAATGTGTACAGACAAATGTTTCACAAACAATTTCTGAGTTGTAAACTAGGTGGACTCACTGAGATGTATTGCAGGAAGTTTTGTATATGTAATATTGTGTGTTTGTGAGCTAAATATGGCAGGAAAAGATTTGCAGGTTTGCTTCAGAGCACAGAAGAAAGAGCAGCTTTACTTTAGTTCTTTGAGTCAGTCAAGGTGTATGAACTGACATTTTGCATCAGAAATGGATCCAGGTTTGGGGGGCACGATGTTGGTCAGACTGAATCCTACATGCATAAATTCAATTTTATAGGGCAATAGCACCGTGTAGGAACCTTTAGATTCAGTGATGCAGCTCACTGCCATTTGGAAACTGCATTGATTTCTTTAAGTTACAGCAGGTGGCCTCGGGGTGGCCACGAGGAGTGAATAGCACCAGATACACCTGAAGGTAACATCCATGGAGGTGTACAGTATGTGACTACACAATGCCAGAGCCCTTAGGTACCTTCTTGTTCACGTGCATCTATTTTAACCATGGTTCTTGTGGTAAAAGAGTTTTTCCAGTTACTCTGAGCAGTCCAGATGCAGTCAGGTTGTAGCCTGCTGTGACATATGAACTTCAAACATTTTCAGACTTTCCCCCCAAAAAATGTATTGGTTTCATACAGATATTGAAGTGTGCTAACTGTAGCATTGATAGCTCCTGCATAGTTGTAACAACTGTAAGTACAGGACAAACACACCAGGTAATAACAGCTTTTAGGTTTTGCATTCTGTATTTGTTTGCAACATACAGGAAATCTCAGCAAGTGAAACATCTCTTAACACCAACAGAATAAAATACAATATTTTTGTTTGTTTGCTTTTGATTTGATTTGTGCAAGGATTTTTTTCTTTTTTTTTTTTTTCTTTTTCTCTATATTTACAATACCCACCCAGTAGACTGTGCAAAACCAACCCACTTTTACAGTATAAACTCTTCCTCTTCCACAGTGGACATCACTGCTTCAGTGTTCTTTTATGCTGAATTCTTCATGTACAACTATAGCAATCAAAACAACATGCTGAAACTAGAAAAAGGAAAAAAAAAAAAAACAACAAAACAAACCCATATATTTGTGCTCATGCTGCATCAAGTGCATCCAGCTCTGCTGGATAAGTATTCAAAACATCTATCCTCCCAAAAATTCCATTCCATGGGACCAAATGGATTTGAGCCGATTTTGTCAGCATTTAAGTGGCAGTGAAAGTGGGTTTGGGTTCCTTGTGTACTTCTGAGGGTAGGCAGAGAAATCTATTCACAAGATAAAAATATTATATAGCAACTGTTCTTTCTCGTATCCATTACTTTAAAAAATCGTGATATACAGATATGAGGCTACTATGTTAACTGATGTTTTCTTGTTAGTAAATGAAGAAAAAAACAGTGTCAATTACCAATGGTTTAGGAATTAAACTAACTGTAAAACTGTTCTAGAAATCTATTTTAAGGCAGTGAGACAGCACCATAAGAAATGTTCCTTCTTTCACTGAAAAGGCTCAAACAAATGAAGCCCTAAAAAGCCTTTAATCAGTGTTTGTTAATAATTGGTAGAAAACTGTTGTTAAGGAGTGGGCAGGCGGTTAAAAAAGACCCTTGTGGTAAAAATAACTTTATAAAATCTGTGACTTGTGTACTAAAAACTTTATGGAGCGCATCACCGTGACCATGGCAGTTAGAATTAAATTGGCACTTATCCAGCATATCACAGTCATGTTTTCTGGTGATTGCACAATACTGTTTGTGCTTTCTGAGTTACTATCATCTCTTACTCATTTTGGAATAGGCGGTAGTGTATAATACAAACACCACTGCCGTCCTGTGACCAGCACCATGTGGCACAACAGAGGTTAGAAGATAATTAGAAGACTGCATTGTTCATGCAGCACCTCAGGATAAAATAAAGGAAAAAAAAATCCAAAGAAGTTTCGCTGTAAACTTGTACAGAGAAACACAGAGAGACAGAAAGAGGATAAGGGAAAAAAAATATTCCAGTTTGGCTAACATGTGTGCAATCTGCTCAGATGCCCTTGGTCTAGGGCACTTTCCAGTTGACAAATGGAGTCTCACTCGGCTCCATAGGTATTGAAATGCCTTGAAACTAAACTAATTCAAGCTTTCCACTTCAATCTTTCTTCCTGACTTTGCAGAGTTAGTTCTCCTGCCTCCCTACAACACACCATTCTTACTGAGAGACCTCGGTGTGCTGCTTTAATACTGGCAGTGGTCTAGTGGAAACAGATTTTACCATCATCCTACAGCAAGATTTGTCCATTTCAGAGAGTTGATTCAAGGGATGAATCCAAAATGTCGTCATGGTGGCTGGTGCTATCACTGTCACAGCTCTGTGCGCTCGAATAGTTGGCTGCCTCTTGAAGCCTCATTAGCATATTCATCTGAAAGAAGAAAGCAATGTTTACATAATCTCTTCTCATTTAAAACCGCAGTGACCGTGTTAAAATTTAATTAAGCTGTATGAGGTGTGCTGGTACCTAGAGGAGGAACTGTACAAAAGGATTTCAGAAAGGGCAGGGTGTTAGCAGCTCCTACTGACACTCTTTTCATTGCCTTCTGGTTTTTAAATAGAAGTCTAAATATCCAAAGAGGGATACAATGGAGTTGCCTGATAACTCTCTTTAATTCAGGGGTGAGGCCAGCTGCAGCTGCAACACCGCAGAGGAAGGAAGCCAAATCTCAGCTGGACATCTGGGCCCATATTTGGAGACAGTCAAGCTTCCAGATAATTTTTGGATGGTGTAGATATATTACACTGGAAAAGCAACTGCAAACATAATCACAGTAACATACCCCCTCTACAAGAGAAAGATGAGGAGGGAATGAGAGAGGGGTGGACTGATGTCAGCTGCTTCATAAATGAGTCCCATCTGGTGTTGAGGGGCTGCCCTCAGGAGCAAAACAGCAACAGATCCTCCTACCCAGGAGAGTAGAGCCCACCATAATTTAGCGATAACTGGTACCTGAAAACCATATGCAAATAATCAAATAGCAGCACTAAGATCCAGAAAATTATTTGGATGCTTGATGCCTGACTATATAATGGTCAGGATTTTATTTATAAAGCATCCACTTCTGCCAGTATGCTAAAGACTGCAAGCAATGTCAACAGTACTTCACTGTTTTCCAAGGAGCAAATACACTGTCGTTATAAAAAGCAGGCAAAGAAAAACCAAAGCCAAAGATGTATTCCTAGCAGTTTGTGTTTTAAGCCCCCATTTCCAGTTTGTTCAGAAATCCTTACATCTCTATGATTTTAACTTGCATGGTGAAGTTTCTCTAGGCACTGAACAGTGTTCAACACTTTTGTGTAGCTTTTGCTGAAGCTTTAACTGGTATCCGTGCTTGTAGACACAGGATACCTGCGGTGAGTGTGCAATACATCCTGCATGAGATGTGTCCTGTTTCCACAAGTGCAGGGTCTGTCCACCCATGAGCTCCATTGGAGGTTACAACTTCCAAGCTTCTGATGTTTACTCAGGTACAGATGCTGACCAGAGTGTGCAGGGAGCAGGGGTGGGAGGAAACTGAACTCAGGCTGCACCATAATGGAGATGATGCTGTGCTGGAAGCCTGTCCAACACACTCACTGGAAGCTCAACTCACAGGGCCAAAATATCACCCGGAAGCTTATGGAACTGAAGAGAAATTCAAATAAGATGATTTTCTGCATTTCTTCAGGATGCTGTCTGTTTTTGAACATGAAACACTGAGGCTGAGGAACCATTTTCTTAACACAGTTAAGAGTTAAGTGCATTTTCCTCTGAGAAATTCCCCTTTCCAAGGGGAAATTCTAGAAATACAGTTCTCTAAAATGGTATTTCGAATTATGATAAAGGCAGTCCACAGAGAAAGCACTACACAAGAATAGCAGTTCAACATATGCATTTTAATAGTCCATTATCAGAGGAGGCAATGGTAAACCTGAATGTCTGGGATCATATTTAAATAAAACAGTATGTGGCATTGAGGGAAATCAACTTCTTATCATTTAATGCCACCACACTTGCATTCCTTCTACATTAGGACTATTATACAGTCATCAGTTATCTCAAAATATTATGAGAAATGGGAGGATGGTTAATTTCCGTTTTCACTAAATTCTCTATGATAGGTAAGTTAGATAATGTGAATATCGCAGTCCTTCATTTTTATAATGTAGACGAAAAACTGCCTGATGAATAAATATGTTTTCATGAGAAGCTTATTAACTTTATATAATAATAATAATAATAATAATAATAATAATAATAACAATAATTATTATTATTATTATTATTATTATTATTATTATTATTATTATTATTATTATTATTATTATTATTATTATTATTATTATTAGTCCCAACCAATATAATGATGAAGACCTGATACATGGTACCAGATATCAGATACATCTGGGCAGATGGGAAATACAAACAATGTAAGAACATATTAATCTGTTGGTGATACATGCCCTCCTGCTTCCTTTAATTTTCAACATTTTCATAAATTATAGGAGGATTCATTTTAAAAGCCTATTCTGGAACAGGTGCACAATATTTTTTTACTGCACAGTGTACAGTTTAACATGTGAAAGTAAAGTACATACTGAAAAGCCTTTCCCAAAAATTTGAATCTTACCAAGGGATCCCCCTCTGTATCAGTCTGTGGAACATGCTTAGAGGTTGTTCCTTCTTTTGCTGATGCATAACCTTCATAACCAACATCTTCAGGTCTTAACTGAAGTAGTGATGGCCATTCATGCTGTAGAGTTGCAGAACTCCATGGATAGGTATCAGCTACCCACTTGGAGGGATCCTCCCAGGGTGCCCTCTTACCGTACATCTACATTATGGATATAAGGCAGGTAAGTATTTTACAGAGTTTTTAGTACCAGCAGAAAAAAAAGTCATTACGAACATCAAAATCATTTTAGAAAGAGATTTGCTTTCAGATGTTCTGAGTATTCAGGTAAAATAAGACCTTAAGGAGATCGGATCATCTCCAATAATGATCCTTCAATACACAGAGTGGCTGCAAGTTGGAAAATGCTCCATAACTACAGACACTTGTAGACAACAGCAAGTGCTTGATACAAAGTTAAATGAGACCTCCAGGTAATACGCTTAAGGCATATCAGGGGAATTAACACAGACCTATCAAAATCATTCAAGTTAATTGGATTTTGTTTGAAGTGAATTAGAAGGTGACAGTACAGGTTGTTCATTTCTCCCAGCAAAATGAGATGCCGAGGCAGACATCTGTCCACATCCTAAATGCGATAACTTTCAAAAGGTTAAGAGAAGAATTTCACAAGGGATATATTTTTCCTCACTATGAAGAATAAAATGCTTATGAATCTGGGAGAAGGACAGAGGAAGAATGAGAATATTGTAAATTTAGGAGATCTGGTAGCACCCTCACTAAAATTCACCCCTCTCGCTATTGCTATTCACAAGCAGCATGTTAGCTGAGAGCCCCTTGGTAGCTGCTTTAAAGAGTTCCTTTAGCTGTGACGATACACTGGAATGGGGAGCCATCCATCAGGGCTTTTTGTAACTTCTCCTGCCTCATACAGTTTCACACAATCCAAGGAACACCATGCTATTGGCAGGGCAAGCACTCATGGAGGATATAGGTGGGCTGCACGCCTAAAGGGAGTGTAACAGGGGAGGACTTTAGTAATAAAGGCAAAAGGATGAGTTGTGCTTATCACTGCAACACCTGCTGCTAGGCATTTGCTGAATGCAGACCTTCAGGTTAGGCAGCCAAGCTCCCTGTATTAGGCATAGAGATACCCAGACTGCTTCTGACCTGCACTGAGGCTAGGCTGTGACAAAAGGGATCTGCCTAAATAAGCCAAGAGAAATGCTTCTCAGAGGTAGCAGGATAACTCCAGGCTGTAGCACTTCCCTTCATCTGAGTTTACCAATGACTAAATCTTTTCTGGAATCTAGACAAAGGCTTGTAATCCTGTGTCTGACAAGTGAGTTTGCAAAGTACCTTACCAGAAAGGCAATCTTTATCTATCTTTGGTTCCAGGAACACTTAATTATATGATATAAAGGATTTCTGTTTATTATTAATAACTTTATTCTATGGAAGCCATCCAAAGCAGCTAAAAAATGGTACAGCCCATGAAACAAATATATTTTCTTCTATATGCTGCCATCTTCTGCTGCACAACTGAAGTTTTCATTTAAACAGTTACCCTGTATGCTTGGGAAAATATGAGTATGAAGAATATCACTGCATTTTTATAGCTGGTCTAAACAAGTGCTGTAAATCTCACTGTGGCTGCTCTATTGAATGTTTGGCAGCATTCTGCACAAGGCATAAAAACTGTAATTCCCAGAGAGATAAGTAGTTTTAAGAAAGCATGAGATATTCAACAAGGCAGAATTCGAAACCTATGTTGCATCAGTATGTCACTGTGTCAACACAAGTGATAAAGAAACTGCAGCTGCTTACACAGTTCTTTGCCTAGTCAATAACAATCCTCCCTGCACTATTTAGTAATATCTTTTGGTGTCACGTATGGAAAAAATGCCTTTCCACAAAGCATATTTTTAGAGCACATGGAATTGCAGTGCACAAACGAAGAAAAAAAGGAAAAGGGAGAAAGCCAATTAAAGACGGGGGGGGGGGAATAATACAAAAAAGGGAGAATGAGTTAATGTAAAATATTTAAGTTTCCTCCAAATATGTGGAATTATCCAAAATCCTAACCTCCTCTGGTATAAGCCAGAGAGTTATCCTCCCAGTGAAAACCTCATTCAACCTCCCAGGGGGCTTATAAAAATAAGGGGGAACAACATTTTAATGTGGACATATAGTGTTAGGACAAGGGAGATGGTTTTAAACTAAAACAGGAGAGATTTAGATTAGATGTTAGGAAGAAATTCTTTATAGTAAGTGTGGTGAGGCACTGGAAAAAGCTGCTCAGAAAAGTTGTTGCCCCATCCCTGGAAGTATTCAAGGTGAGCAACTAGGTATCTTTTAGGTCCCTACCAATTCAAGCCCTTGATGGTTCTATGAAAACACCTTTGTTCACAAACTTTTTCCCACAAATCTGTGTACCTACACATGTATGTAGGTGGTAGGAGCTATTTTCTGGTACCAGTGTAAAGCTTCTTAATTGTTCCATTCAGGGGTAGGCTGAGACTGTCTTGACTCAGGGAGACAATCTGAGCTGTATTTAGCCATGCTGGAAACTCTTTAAACAATGGAAAAAAAACCAAACCAACTTCCTCCAGTCATAGAGAAGAAACCATCTTCATAAAATACAAGGTATGTTTGTGCTGGAGCAAGCAAAACCAAATTATACACCAGAGTAAGATCAAGTCAAAAGATATTTGAATCTGCCTTCTATAACCCATCCAAAGATTTTCCTCTTGCAAATGCAACAGCATTCATACCAGGATGCACTATTTAAAAACAGCTCAGAGAAAGCCTTTGAAAGCATTTTTAAAAACTTCTAGGAATCAAATTACATACCTGGAGTCCTTCTCTTACAGCTTCCAGAAGATATGGAACCAGGGAATAGTTCCAAAGGTCTGTGAACCACACTCTGGAGCCATCAACATCCATAGGGCAAGGGAGGAAGAGACGGGGACCTGAGAAATCAAGTTGTGTATTAGAACAGGTACAACTAGGAAACACTCTTAATCTTCTCAAAATTAAAATTAAAAGAGCAGTACTGGAACAAGCTCAAATTAAGAGAATACTAAAATAGGACTAAAAGAGCTAACAGTCTCCTGTTATTAAAAATGAACCAGTGTCACTTAGTCTAATTTTAGGGCCTGATGAACACTTACAAATTTTATGGCAAAGCTATGTAAAAGCTGACATCTTTGCTAACGCAATTATTCCATTAAAAGACTGAAGGACTAAGGGTTTTTATTGCTGTAATTATACTGCAGTGTGAAAGCAGGAGAAAATAATTAAGCTTAAGAAAGTTACTATCGGAGTATTTTTTTTTTTAAATTTTGTTTAAAGAATAGTGGTATTTTACTTGAAAGTATTTAGCAACAAAGGGAGAACTACCAGGAAATATATATACTCTCTCATTAAACTTTCAATTTTCCATACCTATGTTTTGCTTCCCATTGAAACATCGCAACTTAAAAAAAATAATATATTTTTCACAAAAAAAAAAAAATTCACACACACACACAAAAAAAAAAAAAATATATATATATGTAATATATATATATAAATATTATATTTATATAATAGAAATCCCTAAAATGCTCAGCCTGCATCCTTATTTCAAACCATTCCACAAATGGACTCACCGATGGTTACATCTGAAGAGCTGTGTGTTTCTAGGAAGCTGTTGAGATGATGCCATGTTTTGGGGATCCAGTCAATGATTTTAATAAGCTCATTATTGCGTATGCTCTTTTCTATTTCAGTTTCTATCAGTTTCCTTCTCAGATATCTTCCTAAGAAACCCTTAACAGGCTCTGTGTGATTAGCACATAGCACCCACCTGGGTAGAAAAGAGAAATATCAAGCAAATTATTTCCCCTTAAACATATAGATGAAAGTAATGTCACATAGAGTCTCATTAGTCATCAAGTGTAACACTGCTCCAAGAAACCTCATTACTGCTCACTGTTTCAATACACCCATTTCAGGTTTCAGCAGGAATTCAAGACACTGCTGAAGATAGAAGAAATGCAGGAATGCAATCATCTTCAGCAACTTGCTAGAGGCGCCAGACAGTATCTTATTTCTTTTACCATTCCCCAATACCATTCCGAGACCCACCAACAGAGGAGAGACACTGAAACTGAAATGCTTTACTGTGATGAGACACAAGATCAATATTTGTCAAAGAACTGGGCTTAGAAGCAGGGAACTGTGCAAACATGGCCACACTAAATACAGAGAGAATGTACCTGAAATTGTGATGCATCTCCAGATTTGGTGAAGAAGAAACTCCTTGGTTCATGGTTCCAATAATATAGGGACTGGAAATATAAAAGCAATAGGATTTTTTGAGGAAGAATTCATTCAAATATTCAGAGTATTTTCCTTCTTACTAGCCGTACTAGGGCAATTTCAAAAGAGTCTGGGTTTACTATAGTCATAGATTTAAAATATTTCTGAAGTAAAATTTTAAAAATGTTTATTCCTGTATGATTTCCCTCTTGCACATATGTAGTTTACTAGTTCCCATCTGTAATGAAGAAATAAATAAAGCAATACTGTCTTAATGTAATTCATAATTTGGCAGTACGCTTAACTTTTTAATTTCAAAAGCCAGTGAATCTCATGAGTAAGACATTGCATGCAATGATTTTATGAAGGGAAATCCCTATGATATTACTTTTACAGCAGAAATAACCAACATTATAGGCCAGTAAAAGTTCTTGAAAACATTATTTTTACTCTTGCTTGAGAAGAATGCACAGTCAGCCAACTTTATACTTCTGCACTGCTGCAGGAAAACTATGGGACGGGCAAATCTGCTAGATTCACAGCTGCTTCTCTATGGCATGGTTTATCCCAAATTCCCCTATTACAATGTGTAAGCTGTTCTTTCACTACTAATGAGCTTATGTGATCTGACAGGGTGCAATGGATAAACACTATAATTCAGTTAAGTGCTTAACTATAAAGTATATTCTTAAGTTTTGTGGTACATTTACATCTCACTGAGAAGCATGGAAATCATGTAAATGAAGCAAAGGAGACAACTACCTTCTTGGCTGAGAGGGGTTAAAATTATTGAAGCCTTGGAGATGGCATATGGGACCCTAAGTTTTCACTGGGACATTTTATTTTGCTAAATAACAAGGAGCTTTTACTGTTTTAATTGCAGAAACCTGTGTGCAAGAAGAGAGAAGCTGTACTACCTACCATTTATTGTATTTACAGTTGAGGAAACCGTTGAAGATGTCACTTAGTGAACTGATGTGGTGGAGGTTATCAAGAATTATGACGACAGGGAGGTCAGCACCATTGTTGTCAGCACTGCATTGCTCAGCTAAGCTTGCTAGATATTGTCGCAGATCCTTCAGCAGAATTAATTAAAGAAAAAATCACAATAAAACTCCAAGCCCAGGAAAGATTAATCCAATTACACCATAGATGCAGTTTCACTGGAAAAAAAAACTTCAGAAAGATAACATGACCGCTAAAGAGTTTTTCTTCTGTAGATCACTCAGCTGGATCTGCACATGCAGGAAAACATGCTGCTTACACAGGGCAACATTGAAGCCACATGCTAGGAAAAAACAAAGGTGCTAAACACAAGGCAAATGACTGAAGCATTCTGATTTGGGGGATACATTCCTTAGAAAATTGCTGATAATACATCTTATATCCAGAGGAACATACATTGCAATAAAATAGGCCATTTTCAACGGGCTGAGATAATCATATTAATTTTTGGACCTTCGTTCTCATAAGTGCCACATTTATATATCAAAACCCCAACACACCATCATACAATTTTGCTGCATTGATCTACTCCTTTAGATATCTCCTTTCAGCACTCTCACTGAAATCTGCCTGCCTTCTTGGAGATGCTTTATCACACCTCATAAGAAAAATTTGGTGTGTAAATTCTTCTTTTCTGTCAGCTGTCTGGCTGCTGTTTAGTGTAGAAGTAAAAGAGAGCTTTCTATAATCCAAAAATTTCATATTTTTGTCAACAGCTACTTGTGAGAATTTGGGCTGGTCAAGTTTTACACCTGTATCTCTACAGGTATCTAATTTTGTCAGGGTTGGAAATGTATTCTAGACAAAGTTCCTATTGCCATTTTATTTTCTGAATCAGGAATAGCAGAATCTTTACTTCTTTAATGGAAACATGCACCTTTTTTATTTCAAGAAAAGTTTTTCTTTGCCTTTTTATGATCAAGAGTCTCTCAGGGAACACTATAGGTGTATACCATGGAATAGTACCATCTATATTATTCAAACAGCCTTAGTATTTGACAATGTTACTTTTTCTTTTTTTTTTTTATTACAAACTCAAAAAATTCTACATTAATTTTGATAGAAGAGAAAGGAGAAAAAACCCCAACTAATCCAAGCCCAAAAACAACAGTGAAACACCAAAACACACAGACCAAGCAATTTACTAGAAATCCAAAAGCTGGCTCTTTAGTGGGACAATTTTCTTTACAGATGTGTATAGTATAACAATAGAATATAAACACATTCTCTGCCAAAGTAAATGGCATCACAAATCCTCTGTATAAAGACAGTGAAAAGCAATTATTTTTGCCAGAATGGTCCTTTTGCCCCTTTGGGATCTGTATGCTCTCCCTTCTCATGTTAGCATTCATTATGTTCTGTGCAAATCAGAAAGCTCAGGGCAAACCCTTTCATTTTTTTCCCTCCAGGAACCAAGTTAGGAGTACACTCAATTCAGGACAGCCAGGTGAATATTATTATCTGTGGCTAGCACAGCAGTCCTGCTAGAAACCTGATAATGTGAGCTATGTAAATCACTGGGAAGGTGACGTGATGTGTGAGGCAATTTCAGTATGGTCAGCTTCCAGACTGATGCACACCAGAAATCATGACAGTTGTATCTCCCCAATGCTGATTAAGAAACTGAGCCCAAGACAGTAATTTCAAATCACCCCTTTGAAATTTTGCTAACAAAAGCTGAAGTTATCATCATTAAAAAATCAAGTTACACTACTATTACTATATAGCCAACCTCTGACAAAGGAGTTATAGACACTTCAAAAATTTAATTTACATAGGAGTTGGGCGCTGCATGTATACTTAAAGTAGGTTTCCTCAAGAGAAAAAAAATTGAGACTTCCTTGACAGTGCTTCAATGGTTTGTTGGAAAGAGAAAGATCTGGTCCCTGTACATCACTGGGATTGGAGACTGAATTCTTGTAGGAAGAAATGCTAACTGAACAGCAAAAGAGTACACCCACTAATGGAATCTGTTCTGGATCATCACTACAAATTGGGCAATAGATTATGTTTTCAACTGTAACTTACCTTGCTTGATTTGTGATCTATGTTAAAAGTTGCAATTGCATCCTCAGGTTTTTTCCTGCCAGATTTAGTTATAATATATTCAGCCAGCCTGTTAGCTAAATACGTTTTTCCTGTGCCACTGGGTCCCGACAGAATAATTCTGCGATGCTCCATCAGTAAATTAAAGTACCGTTGGGTAATTGGCTTAGGAATTAATGTGTCAAACACAAAACTGTCCAAGCTGTTTTCTTCTACTCCTGGGGATAAAAGAAAAGAAAAGAAAAATGGCCTGCCTTATCCTTGCTATTGTAGTTATTTGGCCCAGCACCTGATGGCATCAGTGCTATGCCCAAAGCAAAGTAAGATAACTCTTAAATCAAATCTTCTAAATCAAATCTCTGTTAAGGACTTCTTTACTGTAGAAATACTGGTATCCTTCCACAAAAAAATTAAACAGCAATGGTGAGTTGAGATGAGCAGGAGAGATGCAATCAAAGTAAATGTGAAGAGAAGGCGCAGTGAGGCAAAGATATATGTTTCAGACATTACTGGCAATGATGACAAAAAAAAGGTCAAAGTGACAGCCACAAGGGTTACCAGTTGTCACATAAAGGTATATAAAGTCCTCCTGAAGGTCTCCTCTACCCTCCAATAGCAAATCCCTAGAGCTTTTGAAATGTATAGAATTTTTCCTGTGGAACTGAATAAAGCATTAGTATGTCTCATCGTAATCTCTGTTTTGGGGTTGGACTTTTGCCACTGTTTAGAAACTTGTACTTTGGTGTGATTTGGCAGTCAGGCAGGGGAGGACAGACATTCTTAGATGCAGACAGTTTATGCAGTAAATGTACCCTCAAGGTACAGACAATGCAGAAAAGTCAGGTGTAAGAAAAATAAACATAAAAGTATAGGGAACTGCAGTGTAGAACTCTACGGTATCTTTGGTATTCTTTGGGTTTTACCTTTCAGGTTCACAGTGATGATGTTATTATCTCCAACCAGATATCCACAAGGCAGCAGTTCAGGCACTTCTAGGCTATGGGCTCTAGTTACATCCCCTATACAATAGCTAGCAATGCAGTCAGAGCTTAAACCCAGGCTAGTAGTTGGATCCACTCGAAAAATATACTCCTGAAATTATATGAAAACATAAGTAATAAAAATATTTATTGAATGAAAGCTATTTGGAAAACTGCCCACAATCATAAAGAAAAAGAACTGCGACATTGAAAATAAAGCTTAATAGTGGTTGCTGTTAGCTATATATCAAAAAAACCTCAAACCAAAACAAAAATTTGGCAAGACAACTCAAAGAATACATACATTTTCTGAAATGAAAAAGAAAATTGTAATAATAATTAAGACAATTTTTCAGCGTCTTACCTTAAAGAGACGTCTGATTACACCATCTAAAACATCCCATTTTGTTTTTCCACTGACTCCAATTGATCCTATTAGGTATGCATGTGGCTTTTGATCCTGCAAAGAGAGATTTTTTAGAAACTGGACTAAAAATGGTGCTAATTAGCTTTCTATGAAGATTCATAGTTTTCTAATGAAGAATAAGAGTATTATTTAGAATGAGAGGTTACAACTTTGGTAATAATCTCTGTGACAGAAATAGGTATAGACTGCATTACTTTGATACATCTTTATAACAAAGGGAATACAGAATCTTATTCTGCTCTTTGATTGCATCTGTGTTTTTAAACCGATGACTAAAAGTAAAGTTTGCACTGTATTTATAATTTTTTATAACACAGAACATGAAAACATGACAATACAATTTTTCAGTAGCAATTTCATAGTTGCACTCTGAGGAGACCAATGCATCGATCTAATTTTTAATGACTTTTAAACAGAGATAGCAAGACCTGGGACATGCTACTATTAATTAAACTAAGAATTAGTAGTGTTTAAGCCACCACAAAGGCAGAAAGAGGCCATATGGTATTAGTCTGTGTACTAACTGTATTGAGCATGGATGACAGAGAAGAGAGCTGCAATCTACGGAATATTTCCCTTCAGTTCCTGGCTCAAAATACTGAAAAAACATTGACCTATATATTCCAAGATTTGCTTGAGCTATAATTCAGTTCTGGGTAATGCACTTACCTTGGCTCGACTATAGCCTTTGTTTATAGTGACTAAAATTTTGACACTATGACCTTCTTTATGGAGTGTTCCATCAGTGACATCATCCAACAAAATATCTGCATTAAAAGAAGGGAAGCAATCAGTCTGAAAAATCACATCAATTACGTTCAAACCATCAGTTCAATATTTGTTCAAAGGATTTAAAAGTTAAAAATTTGGTTAAAATGAAAGGCTGCCATGACAACAACTTGCCATTGGTATAACTTGTACTTATTCCCAATTCACCATTTCTGTGGAGGTGAAAAAAAGTTACAAGTTGTCAATTTTTGCAGGAACATTAGAAATTTTAGTCATGTAGAAGTGAATAGAGAATCCATAAATAAATAGAATCTTGCATCATAGTCTTATCTTTGCTTTCCCTCTTGAAACTTTTTCAAAATTACAATATATTCACAAAGTAATGTTGTTTAAAAACTAAATTAAATTTATGTCTTTGGGCACTCATTTGTGCCCTTTAGAATATTGTATGAAGAGAAAACAAGAAATCTTTGCATTGATATTTTTGCTGTTAAGTAAAATAGCATTTAATTTCACTTTCTAGATGATTCCTTTGCCTTATGTACATATAATATGGATAGAGTCTTTTCACCCCCGCTAGAAAACCACTTTGGATTCCTCCAGAATATGGGACTCTATTTTCAGCCATTCCTCTAAGGAAAGGCTTCATTTTTCTTGGACATGAAGAGTGATTTTGATCTGCTCTGCACCTTTGTTTATACCACTTCATTAACTCCTAGAATGAGAAAGCAGATATATTTCTATTAAAGGCTGGACCTACAGCTTTATTGCAAGTGATAAAATCGCTGCTTTCTTCTAGAAGTTCTCTCTGGGATTTTACTGTTAGACATTTAAATTAACTATAAAATTAGATGAGATTATAGATTTGCATTTTCTTCAAAGGCCAGCACAGTAATCCATGAACCTAAGCCCTGTTTGTTATGACATCATCTTCATGACATAGTCTTCACAAGGTCAGATTTCATCCAAATTAAATGAGGTCCCAGTAAGATTCAGTCACTTGTTCAAAGGAAAACCAAAAAAGGCTTATGAATATAATTTTAATTAATGTATTAAAAATAAGTTTTCATGTTAAAGTTTCATAACTTACATCCAGATCTAGGATGCAGATTCTGCTGTTGTTTGGGGTTTTTAAAAATTTATTGAACAAAGAAACTGCTTTTTTTGGTGAGTTTTAATAAATCTATGCTTGCTCTGTTCCAGACGTCTGCCTAGATTTTTTGCGTCACCACTGAATGTTTCACTTCACTTGTCTTGTGTTTTGACATATTTGACATACCTTTGAGCAAGCCTAAGAGCTTTAATAATGTCATAGTTTGTCTGAGGGCAAATAATTATATGATGCCCCTGCAAAATTTTTCAATCTCTAAATGACCCTTACGTATCCCTTTAAATTCATTATTCTTTAAGTCTTTAGGAATGAGGAACCACTCTGTAGAAAAGAACAAATTCCACTTTCTAAGATTTCTGTCACTGATACAAGGGGCTGAGAAAATGCCCAAGGGTCTATAATTTCATAGTGGTACTAATTGTTTTAATCACCCCCTGCCAGGCATGCTATGATTACTTCAGTTCAATTGTTGTCAGAGTTCAGGCACTCTGGGCCAGGCTTGTACTGGTCCTTGTTTGCTCCTTTCACTCCAGTGACTGACAGAAATAGGGGTGTCCGTAACCATCAAACCCCTTCCCAGGTTGCGACTGACACCAATTTGGAGGGTATCATCATATCCTTAGGAAGTGACAGCGGATAGCTTGGTCATTTCCACATGACCATGGTTGATTGGAAATATTGCTCCCAGAAAGAGCAAAAATATTTTTATAATATGATGAGCCAAAGCACTCAATTCTCTCAGCTTAATCCTCATCATGATTAACCTCCCCATACCTCAGGGACTTTTGTTCAGTAGTATTCCAGCTGTCTCAGAAATCCCACAAGACTTGATAGGAAGCTGTCACCCTTCCAAGTTCTCTGGCATGGCAACAAAATGATCATCACAATGATCAAAAATTCTAGACTAATAATCAAATGAAATTCTCCACTCCTCATTAGGTACCCTTATATCTTTAATTTCATATAATGAAAAGTAATTACTTTGCACATGAGAAAAACATTTAGAACAATAACATACAAAATTATATAAAGTTACGAATGGAATAATTCACACTGGAAAACACCCCTAAGATCATTGAATCAAGCCACTTCTCCCAGTCATTCTATTCTCCATCTTCCTTTCCCCTGTTTTCCCCTTCCGCTTTTTTTCTTCCAGCTTTTATTATTTCTATTCTTTTGCTGAAAACTTCCTCCTAATTTTCTTAATTTTCATTCTTTTATCTTATCTTTTACCTTCCCTTTTCTTTCCCCCATTTCTCTTCACCCATTGTATTCTCATCTAGTTCCCCCTCCTTTTCTTTAGACCTTTTTTCCTACATGTTTATTCCTGTATCTAGTTAGCAGTTAGTGCCAAGCAACAAAGTGCTAATGGCTGCTACTCAAGAGAGACATTCTATAACCACCATATTGCATAAAAATTATGTTACTTTTTGTTGTTTTCTTTTCATTTGCTAATTTTTAATATCTGTGAGCAGTTAAATTTTTTCTCCTTGCTTTTGCAATACCTCATTGTATGTTGAGACCTAGTTCAGGGTCCTCCATGCTAAAAGTTAAATCTTTCAAAGAGTTGTAATGTAAATAAAAAATATACCAATTTTCATACAAAATCTGATATTAACCAGAAAAAATGTTCAAATATCTGTGTAATCAATGACTGGCAAGATTATATGACTAACTGCCAATCCAAATTACAGTCAGTTTGGCATATTCCCAGCTGTACTCTTGCCTAGATTCTTTCCACAATTATTAGCCACATTTTTATTGCTTCCAGAGACTGCATTATAATTTCTGTGGTGTCTGTGCTAATGAGTGCTGCTTTGCTCCTGCTTTACTCCTGGTTCTAATGTTAGAGACAGCACTTCTGTTTCTTGGCTACATTATCAAAACAAATGTGGAAGGCTTATTATCATAAACTCCATGGCATGGAAAATAATCAAATGTTAATGTTCAGGATGTGGACCAAAGTTCTGCTTGCTTTATTTCATTCTCAGAAGACAATGAGAGTGCCTAATAGATCAGGAGGGGTTTGGCTCCTATGATAAATGGTGATTTGGTCCAACATAGGCTAGCTAGCTGTACCAAATTAAAAAAATGTAAGGGATAAATCTAACCGAGACTACCTTCTGCCTTAACTAAAAATATGAAGTCAAGGGACGCAAACTGAATGATCAAAGATCTTTAAAAAAAAGAAGAAAGTTTCACATACTACACTCATATTTGTCCCATATGGGCAAGATAACAGATCAATACAGTTATCATCATGTATACTTCAACAGATACTTCTTTTCAAAGAAATTGCAAATTGGATTACCAAAGAGTATTGTAAACTCTTTGTAATCTCTCTTAATATAGGCAGAGAGTGCCACAGCTAGGAACAAAGCAAACATAATGAACAATCTGTTACTGCTGTTCAGGGGCTTCTAAAAGCTACAGTTCAGACATGACCACCAGCATTCTTCATCCTCTCTTTTACTGAATGTAAATCTGATGTTAACCTGAATGACATGAGGTGTTTTAATTTCCAGTCATGCTTCTTCTATGTGGTCTATTAAGGGGTTGAAAAATTCTTACTAACTGCTGAGGCATGCATATGCCTGAAGTATGTTTACCTGATGCAACTGACTCTGTGATGTTTAAATTGTTCAGAGAAAGTCCTAGTGATTGCCGTGATGAAGAAGATGATGTGCTGCTTGACGACTCTGATGGTGGCCGGGCAGGCTTTCCAGTATTTCCAGTCTCTGCCTTTAAGCGATCATTCTCAGCTTTCAGAATCTCTATTTCATTCTATATAGAAAAGAAATCAACACCAAAGCACAGGAGGTTATTCTTTTGGAAAACCAGCGCTGGTGGCTAGTCTGGTGATGCTGTTCTCTGACCCAGTTAACTGGTTTATCACTTTCACAACAGTGATAAAACACAGTGAAAACTGGGTTGCCTTTACTTCTTAAATTAAAGGAAAGCCCCCAATTAACTTGTTTTAGCTTTTGCCTCAAGATAGATCCTAAACAATATCAGCTTCAAGCTTTTGTGCTTATTAACCACAGTTGACTGTGGTTAGAATTTTCCCAGCTATCCCAATTTTTTAGGCTACTTTCTGTTGTCAAATACCTAAAGTAACAGCTAGTTAAGAAAGTTACTGGATATGTCAATGCTTCTAAAGTCACAGAAAATTATTACTGCCATTGAATATAAAATTTAAGCAGTAACTTCACAAAGAAATTAAATTAAAAATAGAAATTGATAGTTTAACAGTTTCATAACCCTTCTTGCTATCAAATAAGATTTTTTGATCATTCAAAAACAGGATTGTTCACATAGCAATGACAAAACTCTCTCTGATGAAAACAGACAGTGACAGATGAATCAGAACAACTGGAATTTTTTAGCTAAATCCTCTGTCTTGCCAAGTGATTATTGAATGTACAATAATAAAATGAAAACTTAGCCTGAGAGCAGCCTGGTACCATCTAACTCTAGCTTCCAGGCACTTCACAAAGTGCATTACAAAGCAACTGCTTATTCTTCCAGATGGCTCTGCACATCAAATTTATTTTTGCAGTCATTATCACCCTGCTAAAAGTCTCACTTTTTAAATGGAGGCTGCCCAGCTATATTATACAAGTAAAAACATAACGGATAGATAGCACCATAACAAAAAAACCCCAAACCCTGCTACAGCTACAAAAGGATTAGATCACATACACACAGGTGAGGAGACAGTGAAAGGGAAAGGAAAAACCAGCATAACAGCAACAGAAGGTAATAGATGGGTGTATCAATTTAGTCTAGGGTTCAAATCAGGACCCACTCTGCAATTTATGCTGATTAATTACATAGCTCTTAGCCGTCTTCCATTTACCTGAGCTTTAGCTTTTTAAGGTGCTTAGAATCTAAAAGTATTCATGTATCACTTCTACCAGTCCTATTTTTTCCCTTACCAATTATCATCAATCCTCAAAAATATCACAGTTTGGCAACTTCAAGGTGGCTCCCTGCTCTCTTGGCCGAGCATCAGAAATGGTGATTACCAGTAAAAGCATCTCAACTAGTTGCCTCTGCCCAGATATGAGAAGTTCAGACTTTGGAGAACTGTGCCTACAGCAGACTCCTCCCTCTGGGGAGTTCACCTGGCTCAGGCATTCATCTCCCAGTATGAGACTGTAATCCGGTGAATAAGCCTTCACATCGTTTTCTCCACCACTGCGATTAACTACATTCTATTCCTCACAGTTCCTCAAAACTTTTCAGTGCCTCGAGATCAATGCCTTACTTAAGTCTGCACAAATGAAACCATATTTCTTGACCAGTTCTGTGTAAGTCTTCCATCGAATTGAAGTTCAGCCAAATATCCCACACTAAGGTTGGTACCTAGTAGTGTGAGCACTTGGGAGGATGGCAGGTACCATAGATATGTTTAAAGATCTGGCTGAGACTGATATAGGCATTGTGTAAAAAAATGTCTGTAGAAAAGACATTAAGCACACCATTTCTCTAGTTATGAAATCAGTGCTGTAGGCATTTACATACAGGTACCTAAAGGTGCACCTGACCTAAGCACCCAACACAGAGCAATTCAGCCAGCAAGGCACTGGGCTGGATTCAGCTGTGCAAATATGGGTTTCCAGTGGCATGACAAATATGGTCTTCCATGGAAGAATGCTAAACCTTCATGTCCTGTGCAGATGCAAATACTTGAGGCTGGTTCAAATGGTAAGAAGTGCCTATGCTCAAGGAACTCCACTTCACCTTCTGTACCTATCTTGGGGTAATTTTAGGATAGATCTTTAGCCCTCACTACTACAGAACTAAAACTCGATTAGTCAATCAAACAAGAGAAGTTTATCATGCAGCTCATTCCTAGACTTTTAAATGTGGCCTACTCTGCCTCAGGCTGAAGCCCCAACCCATGACCTTGATTCTGTTCCCCAAATACAGATTTACAGTACCTTCAGGGATGACATAGGTATCTTAGTTGCCATTCCAGAAAGGCCCAGTTCCACTGTGTGGATATTATAGATACTTCTGGGGACCCACCATGGTACTGGGCATTTGCATGTAGGCAACAGAATCGAGTCCCATAAATCTCTGTGCTCCACTGAAGAATACTGCCATTCTTTTTGCGTCCTTTCAGGCTCGTGAAAGGGAAAATCTTCTAATGAAAAAATGTGTTCACAAAGGAATTGGGGGAGTGTAAAAAAACAATGTAGCAGAATTTTATGATGCTGGATACAGTAATTAGTTCAATTTTACATTCTTTGCATTGCAGGCCATTGCTTAGTTAGGAATCAGAAATGATGAAAGAGTAAGCACATAACATCCTGGCCCCCTCCATGGCTCAAGGATTTAAAATGCTGTAGAAATCACTTTTTGATCTGCTTCTCTATCGTGTTGCTAACTCTAGTTATAGGCTTGACATAATAAATATCCTTTGGGCAGGGATTATGTCTTCTTCCATATCTCTTAAACACATTTTAGCTATTAATATACATGCTAAGAATGTCTTTTATGTATAAGGTGAACACTTATCATACCCATCCTTCAAAAGTACTGCCAATGTGACAATTTACTTTGTATTGACAGTTTTTTGGTGCCTGAAGCAAAGTCCTGGGAAAGGAAACATACCAGTCATACCTTTGGTGTGCATCTCTGTCATCACTTAAGCTACTGCACTGACCTGCATGCGGTTCATGGCTTCTCGGATCTGATCCAGGTGGTGTGCAGAGCTGAGGGCTTCCAGACGAATATCCGTTAATTTTAGCTCCTTCTCCCTCAGCTCACTTTTTAGCTGAAGAATAATTTCAGCCTCTGCCTCTGTGCACTCACAGATCCTAAAGAGGAGCAGGAAACAGGCAGGAGATTAAAGGAAGGCTCTCTCCCCAAAGCAGTGTCATTATTAAATATCAAAGAACAGAAAAATGCTTGCTGCTGGTGAAACCTATGAATGAAGAAAGAAACTTATCAAAGAAACATGAAAATGATCAAACTGCAAATTAAAAAAGGAAAAAAAGCCCTCTCCAGAAAAAGTGATTAGATTGCTTATGATTTCTCTACGTAACAGTAGTCAGAACTGATATATGCTGGCTAAACTGTACTCCTGATATTTATAATTTGTTAGGCATCAATATTTTTATCTGATACAAACATTATACAAATTCAATATCCTTGAAATTATAGTCTAGAAGATTTTGATCTGTAATGATTTGTGATGGCTGATGTTTTGCATATAGCCTGTCATTTTGTAATGTACGATATATGAAATCATGTGTGTTGGTTATGTTTCTTTCCCTTGAAGACTGGATTATCATGTGGCATTTATTTCAAGGAAAGAAACCATTATAGTGTAAGAAAAGATTGAAACTGACTGGTTTAGGAGCCCACTACTGTCTAGCTCTCCTGTCAGACTGTTTTGCCTCTTTGTATCATCACCAGAACCACCAGAAGATAATAAAACACTGAACTTTGGCTTCATTGCTATACTAAGCAGTATTTCCAGTCAATTCAGTAAATGTTATTTACTCTTTATTACTGTGACTATAAATAGTTAATATTTTCAGAAAAAATTTCAATATGAGAAGTATTTTATGAAAGCAAGTATTATTATCGTGATTATTACTGCTAAATTAAAAAAAAAAAAAAAAAAAAAAGAAAGAAACAAAGGTCAGCACTTAATTGCCAGAAGGCATGCAAATGCATTTTGGGAAAGAAGATGCAGCACTCTTCAGGTCAGCAGTTGGGTATACAACTCCATGCCCCACACTCAGTTTTACCGGGATCTATGCTTGTAGACCACACGACCGTTTTGCCTTTTCTTTGATGCCCAGAATAGAGATGACCTGCACACACATGTATTAGACAGATGCAATTGGAAGAAAGTAAAGGTAATGGTTTAGAACATGGGACTCCATCAGGAAAATATATGAAGAAATTGTAAGCAAAGGGAAGATGAAGTTCGTGGCAAATAAAATACATGTCAAATAGAAGAAGAAAAATTATGAATGTCATTCAAAACATGGACAAATATTTTAAATGTGATTAAAGATAAAGAAAGTCATACACTAGGATTTTTTTTCCCCGACTAATACGTTAGAACTCTTTCTCTGATGTGTCCATACCTGCCTATGCCCAGCAAATAAAAAATGAAATTTTACTTCCATGCATATTCCATTTATTATCTAATAAAACAGTCATGAGACTAGAATTCCTTGAGTGCCTTAAGAAAAAGTAATCGTGACCTGATTATTCTTAATTAGAAGAAGGAAAGTAAAGGTAGCATCAGTAGTAGGCATTTTTTGGTTCAAAGAGGTTGATTTCCCCATCTTAGAAAGAGTTATGAGTTTAGCAGAATGAAAAAAAAAAAGCAGATGAATATGAATAAGAAAGAGCTGGGAATTCTATAAGAACATATCAGATATTCAAAATATACTTAAGAAATTGGACAGCTGTTGACTCAGACCTGAAACCTTCAGGTGGTGATTTGAATAAAATATAATAGTAAAATCCCACAAAAAATTCAAGCTGATAAAAGAGGGGAAATAGATTAAAAAATATATACATCAGTAGCTACAAAGTAGATAAAGTAAAAACAGGAGAAATGAGTATACTGCAAAAATTTAAAAAATGTATTTTAGAATTTTCTATTTTTAGAATGTCATGAAAAAAGGAAACAAGGAAACGTTAGCATTTGGCCTTTGCTAAGTGGATACGATAAAATTACCAATGGTGTAGGGAGAGTACAAAATAAGCTTTTGGAAGTTCGGTGATTTTTGGAAACTAGGTGATTTTGGGTAAAGTCTGTGAAAGGATGAAAGATTATGACTGAATAAAGAGTTGCTGCAGAACCAGTGTGTAAAGGGTGAAGCTCACGAGAAATCTGGCAAATGGATGAGCTCAGGATTAAAAGATCACAGCTGTTGACAATGGTTTCTGAACAGCAAATGGCCATGCTGGAGGAGGTCTGCTTCCCAGTTCATGCCATTTGCCAAGAGAGACACTTACGCAGATGCTGACTGGGATGGTTTCATCGATGTTGTTGCACATTCTCCTGAGCTGTGCGGTAATTTAGGTGAGGAAGGAAGGGAGGAATCTGTCAGCTCTTCTATGTCTGAATGTGAGGAAGGAGGTTTGGTGGACTTTTTCTTTCCAAAGGCCTGTTTGAAAGAGCTTCTTAGCTGGAAAACAAATACAGAGCAAGATTATTTTCCTCATCACAGCACCTCGTGTACAGCTCATGTTTTGAAGAGTTAGTTTGCAGATGCCATCCTAGCCACTGCCTGAGGTCAGTATGCAGAAGCAAGGTATTAACATATGCAACACAGTATCTCTATAAACATGACACAGTGCTTTGTTTTGACTTTATTAATCCAGCGCAGTGCAGAAGTAATGCTATGGAAAAAGTGCAGGACTGAGTGGTAGAGCTGCTGGGGAGGGGTGCTCATTTAAAGCCATTAAGCTCCAGTGGAATCCCATTCCCATGGCATTCCCTTCAAAGGGTGGCTTTAAATAACCACTTTGCATCTAGGTATAGGCAGAACTAAATGCTGAAATCAAAAGACAAGTCCAATTTACAGGGTTTGCCAATTTATTTTCCCCATTAAAACTTTGAATGGTCAAACTATAAAAGTGCTATGATTTGGATCACAATCAAGAGGATCTAAGTGGGAACATAAGGTTTGTCTTGTACTATTGAGAAGAATGTTAGCTGAAAGGTATATACTGTTTGTTGCAGTTTCCTTTAGTGATAAGATCTCTGAATGTACAAGCATTGCCTTTTCCCTCTAGAAGCTTGTATCCAGTATTGAAAAGGGACAGAATAGCCAAAGAGCCATTTATTTCAGAAGTCAAGATGACAACAGTTTTGTCTGCAGTTAAAATTAACTACCTCATTTGTTCATACCTTTGTCTAAATACAGAATTTGCTCATCTTAGGGAAAATATAGGTTTTAATTTTATTTTCAGAGAGTTCTTGTGATCAAAACTGTCCAGAACACAACGGACCAGCTGGTTCTTCCATGAAAAACTGAGGACTTCAAACAGATTGTTCTCATGGTATAACTGGAGAGTGGGGAGCGTGACCACTGATCTTAATGAGAAATAATATTTAAGTCCTTTCCAGCTTATGATATCTGAAGAGAAAGAAATGGATTTTGGCTACACTCCCCCTTTCTATAGCCTAAACTTTTAAAATTAATGAAGACAAAATGAGAAGAAGTACAGGATAATCTGGTTTTAGAAGGTATAAAAGCCTACTGCCAAAATAAATAGCAATCATGCCAAGATAGGGTTTTTTTATAGATGCATGCCAACTTTGCCATGGTTTATATTCACCTCACTTCCTCTAGAGTTCACCTTGCAGAAACATGAAAGAGTGTGGAATTACAAATCAAGGGAATGAAGGCTCATCAGTATTTTAAAACAAATGTTTATGCAGAGAATATTTTTAAAACAATAGTAGCATATTTTCTGATTCTTTACTGAAAGAATTTAATTAAATCTTTAACAGTATGTGGTATTTGCATGTTCCGGTTGAGCAACATGTTAATTTCTTTAGACACCATAGTATTTTTAAGTGAGAACTCTTAACTGATTTCAACTCCCTCCATAGCTGGGTAATATATTTGAGTTAAGCTTTTGAACCGAAGTCCAACTGAAGAAAAATCAAACCGGGTTTCAATGTGGTCCAGAGGTGGTTTTGGTCATAACAGCTATTTTAAATTTATGTTGTTGTTTTGTTGTTGTAATTGTTGCTTGTAGTTTTGTTTGTTTTAATTACTCTGACTGATGCAAATAAAACCCTGCTGATATTCAATAATTTTTAGTTTGTTGGTAGTGTCACAGTATGGATACACATTAATTTCTTGATATCCATCTGGCCCCACAAAAACATTATAGATGAAATGGACCATTATGTTACTCAGACACTAGGAAATGACACATTAGCTGAAAGAGAGGCTTAAACCTGATGAGTACTCACCCAGTTTTTCTTTTTCTTTTTTTTGGAATCAGCATCATTACTGCTGCCAATACTGGAATGACTTGTAGCGCTGTTGATACTGGAAACACTTTCTGAAGAATGTTGCCGCCTTATACGTAAATCTAAAGAAAAGAAGTTACTGTGAAATCTGTTTCAATATTACGATAATAATTCTTATATTTATGTAGCATCTGCCTCCTCAAAGGCAGTCTAAATGAACATAAATCGCACTGATGCTTGCAGTGGCTCAGATTCAAGCTATTGAAGCCTGTGAGAAGCCACATAGGGACTGAGGGGGAAGCATACAATTAATCCAATACTTAGGGGCTTCTCCAAACTAAGCTGTTCTTGCCCTGAAGGCAATGACTCTTCACAGCCATCTATGCATGTGTATCCTCATAACTGAGCACATGGATTATTTGACATTTCAGTGCCACGTGTACTACAGTCCTGAGGAGTGTAGATTCTAGTCAACTTGTAGCAGCCCTAATCAGTGTTCAGATTCTACCTTCTAATATATCATGATGGAAAGAAACAGGCAGGAGTTCATTAAAAATGAATGACACAAAATAACCAGGAAGTGGAGAATATTAAAAATGGCTGGTGCAGCTTCTGAGTTTCAATTTCTTAAAATTCTCTGGTAACTATATCTTAATCACTGGAAATTATTCTTGCAGAACATGCCCACTAATACCAAGGGAAATTACTTTTTAGATTATTTTCTACTTCCTAGAAATTCACTTTGCTACACTCAAGTCATGCAGTGAAATGACCTTAAGGCAAAAACCTAAATAATGACCTCTCTAATGGAAGATCAATAACAATCTCAAAAACGAATACCACAATTATTTTTTTCAAGTAATTCCTTTGCTGTTGCTTATCAGCAGGCACTTTTGAAGTACATATTTATCATGCAGTATCAGCCTAACTGCAATGACAAATTAATTTGACATCTGGAATCTGTCATCTGCTTTCCTGCACTGATTTAGCACTTCATGAAGGAGCTGAGCTGTTGTCAGTGTGCCTCTTAAAAAACACCAGTTTACAAAGCTACAATTTTGACTGGATTCTCAAGCTATAACCATATTATACCATAAGACTTCCCTTGTGTCTGGGAACTTCCTTAGTCAATTGCAGGGACATGGTTAACTCTCAATCAATCTCTCAAACTTTCTAATCAATTCCTGGCCACTCAGCTTTAGGAAGATAAAGCTCCAGGAACCCAGGAACTTTGGCAGACAGGAAACTCGTGCAAGGTTTCCAGCTCTGGAAATACCACAAGTATGCCTACCATGCACTTCAGAATGTGCTTTGCCTTGCAACAGATTCCCAAACAACAGAGAAGTAGTGACTTTTTTTTTTTTTTCTTTTTTTTTTCTTTCTTCCCTGGGGAAAACTTCTGCATTTATTTTGATAATGACAAACCCATACCTTTGTGGGTATGATCGGGGCCATTCAAGGCTCCTTGAATAGCAGCTTGTGCAGCAGAATTCTGGGCTTTCAGCATTTCAATGGTTTCCCTTAGCTCTATAAGCTCAGATTCCTGTGAGAAGAGCAAAGAGAGATCAAAATAATGGCAAAAGAACAATGTTTGCCTAAACTAAAAGAAAAAATTGCAAGAGAAGAGTGTTCAAAAATTAAAGATCATGGGACTGTTTGGGTGAATGTAAGGGCAACAATAAAAAGAATGCATACTTTTTCTCCAAAGATATTGAAGTTAACTAACGTATTTTACATTTACTCTATATAAAGCAACCATACTATTTTTAAGAAGAAAGCATTTTTAATAAGGAGTAATCTAAAAAGGGTCTCAGTTGACTATTCAATATAAAATTAAGAAAAGCTCAATGACTTTATTGCAAAAGACAATGAAACCATTTGAAGTACATCCTTTAATATGTGAAGCTACTGTTTAATGGATGAATTAAAAATATTTAATTTGTTAAATACTAATTTAATTAAAAAGCCCCTGTTCAATAGAAATTGTCCTGCAAGTTGAAGTAAAATTACTCCACTTGAGTGCAGGAAGTTCTGTATTAGAAAGCACAGCTGATTTTTATTAAAAAATATATTTTATTATTGCTTTTATAAGCAATATTTTATTTATTATTCCCTGTCCTTCCAGTCTCCTTCCTACATGATTAGGGTTGTTTAACCCTATATAATTAGGATTAAAGGAATTTAAACTCAATAATAGAGAAAAGAAGAGAAGGAAAAGAGTAAGTTCTAAATCTTTTGGCAAAGAAACTTGGAGATGATCTGTTCCAATGTCACTGCTTTCACTTTTGGAAAGAAAACATTCTGATGGAATTATACTTTGTAAAATAGTTAAAAGTTTTGGTTTTAAGAAAATTCCATTGTGACTGTGCTCTTTTTTTTTCCTCCCCATAAGATGAAACAAAAGCAAACAATACAAATATTTTCTATCCAGTTCACAGTGAGTCTTGCCACATTTCATCTGTTGGCGCTCAACCAGACTTTGAAATGTTATTTTTGTAGACAAATACAGACTCCAGTGGTGACTAGCAGCTCACAGATAAACAGTTTCTTTCACATTTTGGGTCAAGGAGGCCTTTCCATTAATAGGACATTGTTCAAAATTCATATGGGTAGAAAGTTGCAGAAGTTCAATCCTGCAAGGTGCTAAGCAGCTCTTAATCCTGAGCTTGGTAAAAGGACTCATTAAATTTCTTTGTATCATGTTTAGAGTATTTTTTCCCCTCATTAGTCAAAACAGCACAGTGAAAAAGTGAAAACCCAAACTGTTTACTTATGGATAGGATGCCTAACCTTCATTAACTTTCTCAATTAAGCTATTTTTCTCTACTTAAACTTCCTTGTTTCCTGAAATTCTATTGTTCTGGTGGTGCTGGGAGGCCAGAATGAAGCACTGCAGCAGCTTATGCTAAGTTTTTGTTACAGGATCTTTCAGTATGGAGTAAACCTGAAGTCACATATTTTAACTGAATTCTGGAAATGAAAGATTTTATCTACAAATGATTTTATTACACTATCTGTGTAAATCTGATGCTGTATAGCATTCCAGATGCTGCTGGACATTCATGAAAATTTAACTGCAGCAACCATTAAAGAAAAATCTGTCTTATTGTCACAGATGTCCCTTTTTCCTTTCAGTATTTTTTAAACAAAACTCTAACGTAATTTTCTGACTGTTTTCTACAGTAAAGCATCTGCTTTGATAAACCTACCTTTTGTTCAGCTGTCATTGTTAGACTTTGCAATCGGCCTGTCATATTTCCCAAGCTTTTTTCAAAAGCTGCTACTAGATGAGCCTATGAAAGAAAAACAAGATATGGCAATTTTCCCAGATCTATTTGATTTTGAGAAGTATGTTTTTCCTTCAAGCACATTTTCTCCAACTCTTTAATATTAGTTCAAACTCAGACGGAGGTAAGTTGGATAGATGAATCAGCCAAATGAACCCAGTGCTCCTAAGGCATCTTTAGCCCCCAGTGAGATTAGCTCAGGTATCTCTGCCTGGAAATGAATTATGGATTTAATGTCTGGCTTTAAGTTTACTGATATATTAGCCAAAAGTAGTCTTCTCCCAAAGAAAAGTCCAGGAGCAATTATTTTCAATTCTGGACACTTCAAAACAGGAATTCAAACACTTTATCTTGAAAAGCAAATTTTAACTTCAGAAATAAAACACTTCAGAAGAATTCCAAGCCTCAAACAAAAAATATCACGGTTAGTCTTATAAATGTCATTGCTTAGTCTATTATTATTACACTGATCATATATGTCTGTGTGTGTATAAAATATATTTTGTAGAATATAAATATAATATTTATAATATGTGCAAATATATATATAAAATAAAATAAAATCCTGAAAACTGGAAATCTTACTTCTCAGTATAAGAAGCAATAAAGTTGAAAAAGACCAAAATAGTTTTAAAAAATAAACCTTCTTTTTATTTTTTTTTTTTTTAACAACCATCATCCCAAACTATGCAAGCTAAATTTATATAAATGATACTTCATCAAATCTAACTGGCATTGAGCTTTGTATGGCAAAGAAGAGCAAGTGGTCATAAAAATCCCAATATGCTAAGCCAGCTTGAACAGCCAAGGGAAAGTAACAATTTAATTTTTAAGGAAGTTCATATAATTCCATCCATTTCTCTCCCAACATTAAAAAGTAAAAGCATAAGGAAATGCTTATTTTCTCATTTCTCAAAAGTGGTAATAGACAAAGTCTCCAAACATTGGCACTTGGAAACATAACTCCAGCCCACCATATTTATATGCACAAATGGATTAACTGAGCTTCCTAAGTGAGGAAATTTAGTTTTTATTATAGCAGTTCAGGCATACACAGAGGCTGGCAAATTTTTCAGTTGCAGATCTGCATGCTTTTACAAGCATAGTTGAAATAGTTTGAATTTATGTGGTTGTACTGAATATGAGGTATAATCAAGAAAAGACATGGTCCAAAAAGGATTTTGTTCTGTATTTTAGGAGAGGAAAAAGAGCTTCTTGCCACCTTGCTCTGTATATTACCTCTCAAATAGAAGATTACCATATATATAAGAGTGGGCTACTTCAGCATCTCTGCTTCAGAGCTGTTATACTGATGAGTGATTTTTTGTTTTGTACATAATTTTGGATTGCTATAAATATTTAGGTATCTTGAAAGCATTTTATTTTATTCTTATTAAACTTACTAAAAGTTTACTCCTTGTAAACTACACTATTAGTGTGCTTAGATGCACTGAATTACTTACAAGTCTAGTGGTCAATCGACCTGCTTTCTGCATCTGCAGGGATATCTTTGGGATAACTTTTGTGGTAAAGGACACATACCACAAGGACTAACTCCAGATAAACATGAGACTAGACAAATATGCCATCTCTTAAAGATTAATTAGTAATTGTATATATTCCTATTTCAACATCTGTAACTTAGGCTACATTCTTGAAGTTATAATCTTTGATAAAATGAACCTGGCAGCCTGTCAATCAATATGTCATGGTTTGACACAGGAAAAGAATTTTCTTGGAAGGAAGAGGTCTATCCAGTCAGGAGTCAGGTTTGGATACTGACACTTGGGGTGACCAATTGAAGGTGGACACGCCTCTGAGAGCACAGAGGGGTTAAAAGTGGAATTCCCAGGAGAACGCGCTCTCTCTGGTTCCGGTCATTGGAAGGTGCAGACCTCCCCTGCCCAGCCTGGGCTCGGTGGGGGAGGGGAGCCATGTGGCCTGGAGAGGTAGGCCAGGGAGTGAAGGATCGGAACCGAGCTGGGCCAGCTCCTGCGGATGGAAGGGTGGAGAACATCTGAGATGTCTTTGTTTCCCCCCCCCCACCCCAGCCTAGAGGGAAAAGAGATAGAGAGCCTGCAGACACCTGGGAGTTTGCTGGCAGAGGAGAAGGATGAGGTGGGTGGAAAGATGCCCAGTGTGGGAGACGGGAGACGGAGTCCTGGGCTGAGGTCCAGGGAGTCCGGGAATTTTAACCCTTTCCTGTGAAATGAAGGCTTTATGAAATATTACTCCTCCTCAATTTGAAGGAAAGAGAGACAGCCTGGGACCTCAGATGTTCTGAGAAGAAGGTTGGGGGGAGATGATGGAGTGGCTTTTGGCTGGACTCTTCTTGTTAACCATAGACCGAACCATTCCTTCTTTCAAGAGGGACTGCATTTTAGGGGGATGCAATGGTGAGCCAAGAGACCTCCTTCAGCAACTACCAGTTCAGGAATGAACAGAGAAAGCTGAGGAGGGTGTGATGATGCCCTCCATCTTCAGAGAAGAAGACAAGACGATCTCTGTTCTTGGACCCTCGGCCCCAGGGGAAAATGGGGGGGGGACTGTAGTCCCAAAACGAGACACTGGACTGTTGTTCCTGTTGGTCCTTGGCAAAGCATCCTTAAAGGGGCCCTATAAGCAGTCTCTGTCCATGCACGGTGGTGAGAGCACTGTGACATGGAGAGGAGAGTGTCACACTGACCGGTGTGTCTGGGCAGTGCCATGTGTGACTTGGTGACTTGGTGACAAGAGGTGGCAGCTGTGTTTCCTGGGGGTCTGTGGTGCAAGGGGGGACTCCTCTCTCCCCCGATGGACTCAGTATTGATTATATTGAAGGGTGAAGACTTGATTAAGGATCCCAATGGGTGTCGCTGTGGTTTGTTAGAGTTGGGTGGTGGGAGGAAGAATGTTTTGGAAGGTTTTCATTTTGAATTTTGTGTGTTTTTTTTTTTTCTTTCTTTTTTCTTTTATAGTAGTAATAGTAAGTAGTGTAATAAAGTTTTTCCTTTGTTATTAAGTTTGGCCTGCATTGCTCTGTTCTCGATCGCATTTCACAGCATTCAATTGATAGCTTGCATTTTCATGGTGCGCTGTAATTGTGCCAGCATCAAACCATGACACAATACTACAGCTTTTCGTTGTTTTTACTACTCCATTCCTCTGAGAAAATAAAAATAACTGTTTTTTAAACTTACTTTTAACTTTACTACTTAGCTATATGTTAAAAATATCCAGATCAATCTATGGTGTTTTATTTCCAAAGATGATGACCACAGACCACCCAGAACACTATCAGAGTCTTTTCATTACTTTTGTTTAACAGGAAACTAATGGAGCTCACTGTTCCCTGCCTCATAAAAAATCTATGCCTTGGCTGATGGCCCATGGTTCTGTTTTACTCTGAGAATTACAGTGGGGACTGAGGGCTTGAAAGAGGAATAATTTGTTTAATTATGCATTGCTTCTGTCCTTTTCTAGCAATTAGACTGTAATAACCACAGTACTTTGGTACCAAACTATGCATACTTGTGTAAAGTATTTTCCTATTCCATAGCTACAACTTCATCCTATTGTACATGAATAGAAAACAAAGAACTTATAGGAAAAATTAAGTACTAAAAAGCAGCATTAAACATGTCATCAAAGGTCACTGAAACTATTATTTTCTGATAGCCTTTAGAGAAAGGCAGCCATGTCAAAAGGGCTCTTACTAAAATTCAGCCAGTGACAGAGAACATTAACTTCTTGGAATATTATACCAAACTTTTTGCATCATAAATTGAATTGGATTAAGATAATGCATTTTCCCTAACTCATTTCAAATAAAGATGATAAGATCTTGATTTGCTAATAATAAAGAAATGTAATTTAAAGTCCCATTGACCAAAAACTATTCAAGAAGTAAACTTTTTAATTGCATTGTTCATTACTTTAAATGTTTATTACAAGACAGCACTCTTCTACTGAAGAATTGATTTTATATTCAGAGTAATAAAAAGTTCTGTCTTTCTCTATGGTAGCTAATATTCATTCATCTGTCTAGGGAACTCAGACTGGAAAACTTAAGCAGATTTTCCCTACAGAAATACTATACAACAAAATAAGAAAACTTAGTTTGAAAAAAGGCTAAATTATCAGTAAACTTATATGTATGTTGAAGTATACAAAAAACATATGCATATATAGCTCCATTTGAGATCAGGTTTTGCATTAAACAGTTAAATGCAGAATAGTTCATAGAGCAATTAAAGACAAGAGAAAGAAGTATCTGTGTCTTTAATAATGTTCATTACATATTAAAAATTCTAGTTAGAAACTTTTTTTACACTTAAAAGTTTGATAATTTATTTTGGTTGGATTGCTAATCCTCAATTTCTGAGGATGATTTAATTTACCTAAAAGTTTCCATTATTTCATTCTTGTAAAAATATTTAGGAATTGTTTTGTTTGTTTTTTTTTTTTAAGATACAGCCAGTCTCTCACACCTTAGAAATAAATCTCTGTGTTAGATTTGGAAGTTTCATTCATGGCATACACACATCATTGCAATACTTCAAAGAGTAGCCTGAATATTACATGTGCTTTATATAATGCTCATTCTAAAGTAAAAATGTGTCTTCACAATTGAATGCAGTATTTATACCAGAAAAATACATCCTGGAATTAGAGTTAAGTAACTGGGCATTACTTTAAGTATGCCTGCAGCAAAATAGATCCATCATTAACATGACAAACATATTAGACACATAGATATTCAGCTCTTAATCTGTAGATATCCTTCATGTATGAATCAATTTTGACTTCTATTAAGATGTGAAATGCCCATTGGAAATAGTCAGAGATGTATGCTTAGGGAATGACTTCAGTGCTAAAATGACAGATTTTAAACATTTTCTTAGCAAACTATGCCTGCCAGACAAGCCCCAAATACCTCAGCTCTCAGGTTTACAGCCCATCCTAGACATGACATTCACATATGAAACATCTGTCTTCCAACACACTTTGGGATTTGACCTGTGGCATTCATTTATAAAACAAAGGTAAATAAATCAAGTTCCTCCCACCTGACAGGGCTGAATGAGAGGAGGTGTGAAAGGCCAGAGGAGATCAGGCTGATTGCAAGCAGCAACTGTAGATCTGGTGACCTTTTCTGTTTGCTGCCTGCTAGCATCTTGTTGCTTGGCTGTAGGATAGCAGTTCAGAGCTGGCCAAACAAGAGCATTAGCCAGCAAAGCTCCTCTGCTTTCTACTGGCATCCTGGCTCTACTACTGTTTGCAAGCATGCACCCTTCAGCTTTATATAGTACAAAGCTCTGATCAAAGTCTCTCTGAACAGGCTGGGTCAGGCTGCTCACTGGAATTTGAGCCCTTGTCAGTCACATATGGAGTCTGCTGGCTGGACATCATCTTCATGGAAAACAGGCCCTTTCTGAATTAGTATTGAGATTTACCCTTCAGTCACACTGAGACAGATGCCAGGGGTAAAGCAAGAATCTCAGAAAATCTGCAAATTAAGCATCCAAATGACAGCTGGACCCAGCTTGAATTTAATCATATGCAGGAAAACACTTTGGCCCTTTGGGGTTAATCAAATGAAATAAACTGTTTAAGTCAAGCACAGCACTTGAGTCCAACCAACGGAAACTGAACAACAAATCAAACCAAGTAAGAAAAATTTTAGCAGAGTTTTCAATAATGCCTGAGAAATGCTATAAGTTCAAATTCACAGATTTGGGTATAAAATAATGTATCAAGCAAAGGCTTGATTAAATAGGTCAAATTTCAACCTGTCACTTTTTAATGACTTATATGCTAATGTCACCAACAGTCCTCTGTGGAGAAGCAAAGAAAGGCACAAATAGTGTTGAAATGAGCTAAATAAGATGCTCTTTTTCTTCACTTGTGTATAATACTTTTGCTCAGTTCTACAAAGGGAATTTGTTGCTAAAAACAAATTCACATCGAGATGAATTATGAGGGAGCAAGATTTCTGACTGTTACCAGTTTCCTTCTCCAGATCACAGCAAGGCATTAAGTGCCGCCTGCTTTCAGTGAAGGTACGGAAATTAGGAGGGGCTTAGGACTAACACCAAGGACTAATGCTAAGATGAATACATTTGTGGCAAAAGCATCAGAAAGGACTGAGCATTTTTCTGGTTAGCAAAAGCACCATGAAAGCTACTCAGTTTATACAGTTCCCTGTCGGCCAGAGGTGGATGTCTTGACAGAGAAGATAGGCGGTGATCAAACTTTCCTGAATCAAACTTAATGTTTGTTCAAGTTTCAGCCTTACTGACAAGAAAGTACGACTCAAAAGGAGAGTCACAGTAGTATAATCCATGTGGAGATTTGATTTCTTCTCTGAGAATAAATTCCAGATTTTGTGATTAGGAATATTTCTCCTTCAAAAGGCAGTGACTGGTGAAATATGTCTCTTAGACTACAAAATAAATGATAAATAGATACATGAAAGGAACGCACTGCTAAGGCAATACAAGTTTATGAAATCTTGAAAGCCATCTAGAGTTTCCATAAGTTTTCCAAGTTAAATCATTTCCTAAAAACTCAGAATTTTTATGAAAAGTACTTAATATCTGGCACTTAGACTTCAATTTTTAAGTAGACTAAATTTCAGTGGTTCTATCACAATTAAATAGTTGAATATACTCTCTGCTTTCAAGCTGGATTTTATTTCTGATAGTTAAGAGATATTTTGTAGAATTTCTTCTCATAAAGTGCTTGAAGGACTGACAGAATAAGTGCTAAAACATTTAAGCAGCCTCTTTTGATATTGTTTAGATTCATGTGGAAGTTTTAATACTTTAGAAGTTCTGTACCAGAAACAGCAGAGAATGAACTCAGGACCAGGTTTATTGTGAAATACTTTTCAATGTTTTGGTTTTGTAAAATATGTATCTCACAAGAACATCCTGCCAAAAAATATTTACTCCCAATATCCAGTAATATCTACTTTTCTTTAAAGATGGTATTCATTGTGAATATAACTTTGTCCATGCCTGGGGATTTTGAAGCCTCTACATTTCGTGCTCCTGAAAAAATTTAATTTTGAAGGAATTTCTACGTGTTGAGGATTTGGCAAGAGGAAGGATTTCTCTTAGATCATTTAAAAACACATGTGCAAAATGGATCAGCCTTAGGGTTCCTTACAGGTTTAGAGTTTAAAAATATCTCCATGGAGTTGGATTAGAAGGTGTGTAACAGTCAAAATAACATAATTAAATTAACCAAATGTGGTACTTCTGGACAGCAAAAACAGATGTCTGTGCATATACTTTTAGCCATCCTATTGAAAATGTTGTCTTTACACTTAGATCTGTAGAAAACCATTCTTGCTAGCTGTTCAGAAGCCCAGAGGCAGTATATAGGAACAGATTCCCAATAGTCCAGTTTGATTCATACAGATCAACTCAAATTTATTTCCTACCCATGCAGCTGATTTAGTTTGAGTGAAAACCAAGCCAAAATACCCATATTTAACTTGACTCTGTTTCTTTGAATTATGGATCAAATCTAATTATAGTGTGGAGCTGGCTTTGACAATTTGTCTAGAATAAGTAATGTTATTAGAAACCATCCCATATGGCATTTATTTAATAGACATGTTGGCCACAGGTATAGTGAAGGACTTCTAAATAAGACTAAGGAGAGATTGGACACAGTTTGTCCAAACAAACAAAAAAATGGTTTCATTTCCTCAGCTGCAGAGAATGCTCTGACATCCTCACCTTATTGCATTTTTTGCTGTATTATAGACTATAGCATTTCTGGATTGACTGAAAAGTGATGGAGACTGAGTAATCTTTCAACTCTCCCTTTCAACATAGCAGGTAGAAAGGATATGCTGGTGTTTTCTGTTCTGAGCCAGTGGAAGGAGAGAAGGAAAAACTGGTTTTCTACCTGCAGAGTAAAGAGAGGCGTGGTACCAGGGGTCTGAGTTATCACCTGAAACAGGCACTGAGCACAAGTCCACAAAGGCAAACAATTTAGTTTAACTGGATATGACACCTGTCATGATTCTAAAGAATCATGAAAGGGTTTGGTTTGGGAGGGATCTTTAATGATCATCTAGTCCAACTTCTGACTGTGGGCAGACACATCTTTCATTAAATCAGGGGCTTGCTGGAATCAAGATAACTCCTCTGGATAACACCAGGGCACTCAGAGTAGATGTGGGCATGTCTGTGATTGTGCTGCATCACAAGCCCAGCCAGGGATCACCATCCTGTGCTCCTGCAGAGAACAATAGACTCAACAGCAAACACACCTACCCAAAGCATGCTATTTTAGCTCTTCTCACCTCTATAAATATCTTGGGTTTATAGAGATGAGCTCTTCTAACCTCTATAAACCCTCTCAGTGTGGGTTTTAGTTTGTTGCTCTCAGGATAGGTAAATGAAGAACTGCCCAAACTGGTAATGATGAAGGTCAGTGTCTAAAACATGCGAATAAAGGAACCCCATACCCAATATAGATACTCTGGCTATTCTAGCTATACATTCTAAAATAAAAAATCCAACCCGGAATCCAGATTTTGAATTTACAAACATCACAATGCCCCACATCATCTGATTTACTAGTTCATTCCCAATACTCAGAAGAGTCTGGCAACATACACTGTTACAGATGTACAAATACCCACAGGAACTCTTCAACCATCTGAACAGAGAAGAAAGTGCTAAGCATAGCTTTTCCACATTTTCATATGTTGAAGTCACACACAAACAAGCAGCTTTCACAGAGCTAGAGATTATTTTCTCACAACATGAAATAATTTCTTTAAAATCAGCAGTTATTTATACAGCTAAATATTCAGGACACCTACTCTTCAAAGAAAGGCATTCCATTGGCTGCCCAAGATATCAGGAAAGTGATTTTCTGAACTGCAAAATGATACATTCTTCTAACTGCATCTCAGATTTCCCTCACAGTAGTAACAATAATTATAGCCTAAACTGCATTTAAAAATAACAATACTAGATTGTTCAGTAACTTCACCTGAAACCACATCAACCAGAAAGGATTGTAGCTCACATTCTCTATCTGGCATTATTTTCAGATAATACGTTCCATAACTCATATTACCAATATATGTCAATTGGAAGGAACACCAGGAAGCTCTCTGTGAAATAGCCCAGTTTTAATTAGTTATATAACAGCACTGCTTTTGTAGCATATAAATCCTATATATACTTGTACACTGTGCTTCCCTTCACACATGACTGCATTTTGCAGGGTTTGCCTTTGTGAAATGAAACTCTAATGAATTCTATTAGAATATGCAAATCATGCCTTTCTTTGGTTGTGTCTCCTTACTTTTGGCCATTTTTTAATAATTGATTCTGAGAAAAGGGTGAAACTGAACAGGATAAGACTATCATATTTAAAGCGTGGAAACTCCATTTCCACTGTCTACTTTCCACTTCCACAAGAGTACTTTTTCTTGAAGCTGAGACAATATAGAAATTCATTAACTTGGAAAAAAAATCCCTAAATAAATAAATAGTAAATGTCTCCAAGACTATGTGTTGAGTAAGAGTATGATAATGTATTTGCTGATACTACTTATCATCACAAGCAAAAATACTTACATTTGCTGAAAGTTGAGAAGTAAGGGTAGCAACTTTCTCCTGTGATGCAACCAACTCTCTTCGTAGCTTCTGAATTTGCTAAAGAAACAACAGACTGCTGTCAGTATTTCACCCATGTTTTTGTTGTGGTTATTTTACACGTTTTCTTGAGAGACAACCAATATGTTTACGATGCCTTAGCTTCAGATTTTAATCTCAGAACTATCCAGAAATACAAATTATTAAAGGTTGTCTCTCAGTGTTGCCCCAACTGTTTTCTAGCATTTAACCAGTGTATGAACCAGGATTCCAGTTAAGGGAGCACATATGGACAAATGCTTAATAAATTTGTATGTATTATCCTTTTTTGCAAGGGAAATGCCATGGGTTTTTACCAAGTCCCACAAGTCCCAAACATATGCTTAGTGTAATCATGGAGAGCCGTGCTAGATATGGCCTGAGGTTTTGAAACATGAGTGCATTTGGGTGAGGTTCACTGTGCCTGACTGTAGACATGATGCAACCAACATATGTTGAACGTCTACATTAGACTAACATAACATGAAGAATGTACTCTCAAGCTGTGCCTGGCATGAAGAAGGCTTTGATAGCTACTTCAGACACAAATTTTTTCTTTATGGATGCTTGAAATTAGGTGAGATAAATCAGTTTTTTTTTTCTCTAAAACATGCTTTCTACAGTCCCTGAAATTCAAACATGCAACCTCTTTAAATCTTATATAGTAAACAAAAACTTGCTTGCCAACGTAAAAAAAAAGTAGTTTTAAATGTGCTTGTTGACATGAAAATAAATTCAAGACTCTTTTATTCTTTGGTGAAAAACAGAATCCTTAAGAAAAATATCTGTTTCTATTTCAGCTGGGGTAGATACCTAACATGAAGCATGCAAATAATTTTTTGAGATCTTACAGGGACTTCTGGGCACTGTATTGAAATCTAGCACAGCATGGAGTTTCACTTTGAAGAGCCTTTCATATTCAGACATAAATTATTCCAGACTAGAGAATTAAAATGGGTAAAACCAGCATAGGAAAGGGAATATTTACAGTAACTAGTAAAGACCATTGCAGTACTTTAGTTTTACAACTCCCATGAAAACAACAAGAAATATTGCACAATCAACATGAACATGTTCCTGTACTTCTGTTAAACAAAAATTGCTCAGTCATTTACACTAACTCAGTGCAACAGGGGCAGATTATCAAGCTGTTCTCCATCCTGAACTGACCCTTTTATTTTTCAAAGTTTTCTCTTTGTTTTTTAAATGCAGTTATTTGACATTCCAGCTTAAGCTACACTTTCAACATGTTCTTGCAAATTCACAAAGGTAGGTCTCATGAAGTGCTGTTCAACATCTCCCATAAGAGCATATATATTGTCTATATAAAAGGCAATAAAATGAGGAATTGGAATTTACACTACTGAGCTATAGCATGCCTCTTTAGCTCCTTTGTTTTAACTTACAGAAATGTGAGCTTAGATGAATTTACATTGAAATATACTGCAGCAAGGAGGAAAAGATACGTTTATTTGTTCAATTTCCTCAAGATATCTTTTTGTTGACTTTTTCTTTGATGAGAATAGTAAAAATAAGAGCAGCATAAATGCAGAAATTGGAAGGCATGTAGCTCTGGTGCTGTATTTTATTGCAGCTACTCTTTGGTGCCTTTTTAATACAAACAGGACTTCATTTTGAGAAAGGCTGTAATTGTATCCAGCTGCTGACCCAGGCTTGTCACCCATTCTTATACACTGTGAGGAGAAAGAAACTATTTTCCATGTCAAATTTGATTTATATCTGAAATCAATCTGCATTGCTCTGAAATCCATCAAAGTGGTCAGTTTCAGAAATTTAATATAATTCAAAATGTGAGGGAGAGAAGTTCAAAGCAATCATTTGAAGTATTTTTCTCCTGAAAGGCAGCACCTTACCTTGAATTGCACAGTCCCTTAGATCCTGCACAGAGTGGTATTAAGTCTGAAATCAGACCTATCTCAACTCCTCTACTCAACGCCCAGTTCTCACTGATTCTTTTCATCTTTTCAGAATGACAGCCAGGAGGTTTTTTTCAGCACAATGTAAAAAAAACACCTTCTAGTTAACTAAAAGCTGCACCAATTAACTGCACCAGTTAACTAACCAGTTAACTAAAAGTTTCCACCAATACTTCTTAAATGTGATGCAAAGACACAGGGTGTATTTTCTCCACACACTGTGCAGTTTAGCTAAAGCAGGTAAACAATACGCTATAAAAAATGTAAGGCAATACAGAAGTATAAAAATGAATTAAAGTTCTTACCTCTGAATGTGCCTTTTCTTCTGCCTGGAAGAAAACAAAGGAGAAATGGCTTAGAAGCAGTGTGCAACATAATTGCGGTACTAGAACATAAAAGCCAGCCACACTGAAGTGAAATGAATAGCTTCACGCATCCATTACATTTAAGGAACATATCCAGTAAAAACAATAAATGGAACTCTTCAACTTGCTTGGCAAAGCTCCAGCTGAAACCCCAAAGAGCATGCCAGTATACTTGACAAAATGAAATGGAGAGAAAGGGAGAGTAGGAGCACAACTGCAAAAACTGCAGCTACATTTCTAAGATACAAACAAAAATTGACTATGCTCTCACTGCATGGGCATTAGTCTGACACAAAAAACCTGTTTGTGCTGCAATGATTATTAGGGCTCCTGGATTTATATTTCTTTTACTGCATACCAAGACATGTTCCTAATATGATAATAAGTAATCCCTGATATGAGAAGTTGACAGCATACCTGTAAAACATACATTGGGAAAGGTGAGGGGAACTTGCATTTTAATGTAATTTCTTCCATACAGAGTACTGGCAAAAATATTAAGGGCTATCAAGGCATGTTGAAGTTTTCAATGAAACTTGGTAATATTTAATAACTTTCCATATTGCAATGTATTGTGTCATATATTGAAACTTTTTAATCAGCAGCCTTTTTCAACAAGCTAAGACACTATACCACTGCAAGGCAAACCTTGAAAGTCATTCAGTTTCTAAGCATTGGATCAGTCCTATTCAGGAGACATTTGGTGGACAGATAAATCTTGCTTCAGTTGGATTCTGATGGAAAAGAATGACATGCCACGAGAAAGGAACTCTTTCATAACATAAAATAAGAACCAGTTAATGTACTGGAAATCAATGCACCCCATGGTCTGAAGTGGCCCATGTTCAGAGAAGTAGTCTACATTATCTGGAAGAGAAGTAAGCAGTAGAAGAAAAATGTAGGTAGAGCAACTAATCTGTAAATAACATTAGAAACATTAAGAAAACCCAAGGTAAGGGTTCATAAGTTCTCTGGCATTGGACTGTCTTATTCTGTATTATTACAAATTACTATAGCTGACTTTGAGCCTGTATTAGGCATTAATTTTGGGCTGTAAGGATTTTAATGATTTATAATAGAAATTTATAATTGAAAATGCTTTACCTTGCATAAGGGGAGAAGACTTCTGGAAAATGCCTCTTTCCATACATGCTTATCATTTAATGGTCCTAAACAGACTATGATGTTATGACATTCACCTTGGCAACATGTAGAAATGCTTTTGGCTGAAACTGCTCTAATACCTGATAATAATAATAATAATACTCTAATACATCACTATGTGAAGATGATTTAGTATAATGATTTTTTTTTCCATCACATATGTGACACACTACCTTTCTGATCAATGCTTACAAAAAAGAGATCTGCCTCTAGAAAAAAAAAATATTCTATTCCTGTTATTGTTACATCAAATATTAAATGCATGGAGGGTCACAAAGGGATTGAATTGACAATGTCCCCTTATGATTTCTTCTGTGACAACAAAAGCAAAAAATTAGGGTTGGTGACTTTTTCCTAAAACTGCCATGGGGGCACATGGTCCTTGTCCTTGGAGCACCAAACCTGCTGATGAAGCCATTGCTACATGTCCTTACCAGACAATTCCCTCAATGCACAAGGAAGTGTTGCCTCTCCCGGAGTTCAGAGAGGTGGCTATCACAAGTTACATTTTGTGCGCAGTGAAGGAAGCAAATGAATGAAAAAGACCAGGATTTTGGACATATTATCAGCTTAAAAAAAGAGAATCTGACAACCAAATACATCTCAGTAGTTTTTAATTAAGTTCATGCTCATCACATAATTGTAACCCAGGACTCACCCATTTTTCCAATAGGCTCTAAAAGGCAAAAAATTCTTTTTCTCACTCTACTTCTCCATTATATGCATGCATCCCATCCTTGCAAGGATTATTTTTTCTTTGTTTGAAGTCTTAGAATATTAGGGTACAAATGACATGTCCTTACACAACTCCTCTGAGCATGGCTTAGCACAATCAATGAAGCCTAGGGAGTCAAAATGTAGTTAACGCTGAGAGCCAGTGCAGAAAATTGGCAATTAACTAAATATGTGAACATTTAAGTGTTTCAACCTACTGAGCAGGAGGAGATCGAAACAGGAGACAACCTATCATAATTTTTTCAATTACTCACAGGTCAAAATGTATTCACCTCCAAAACTGAATCAGTTTACTACATCTGCTTACATGGTATATTTTTCTGTGAAACAAAATGGATGTCTCTGTACATGCAAATCTCTACAAGCTAAACTTCCAATCTATGCAAGTTAAGTCCTGAAAACCCAAATACAAGTCAAGATGAAAGCCAGTATATACAGAAAAGTAGTGAATGCAGAACTTCTGCATCACTGGACTTATTCAATGGCAGAAAATAATGAAATGGCTCTTCTGAATCTCATATTCTAATTCTCAGAGAAACAATCTTCAGAGAATAACTTGAAGATTTTCAACTATCCTCTGGTAATTATACATGAAGGTCTTGATCTTTTGGTACTTTGTCTCCTATTTCTCCAGGGATTAGGTCACAGAAAACACTAGCACTAAGGCTTAAGACAATGCTTGAGAAATCAAATAAAATACATTTAATTGAGATAACCCTGTGAAGCTATCCCATTGCTCTCTTCACTCAACTGGTGTAGTACTAAGTGTTAAACTTTTCAGGTTTCTACTCCACTTGTGCATCATATTTTGATTAATTGCTGAAAAGTTTAAACTGTTTTCAAAGAGGGCTCAAGCAAAAGAAATTCAGATCAAAAATCTTCACTAAAATCAATCTTAGTAATTTTTTATACCAATTTATTTTTGGCCCTTTTCAGATTTTCCTGCAGCTTCCATTATCTTGCCTACACAATCTATTAATTAAAGAGTGGGGCTCAGCTGCAATGTGAAGTCACAGGCAGATCTTTACAGTATGAACCTGGGAAAACAGTTTAAAGTTTATTTTGCAGGGAAAATACCACTCTTTACTATCATGAGATTTAGTTAATATTTCCAAGATACTCTGTTGAAATATAAAAGGTTATATAAATAGTAAGTATTAGTAAATTCTTGCTACATTACACAATATCAGAACACAGATATTTCAGAGTTACTCACTTACTGGGTGCTGAAAGCATCCTGTGTCACTTTATAGCTTGATTTTTTTTCATCTATCAGTTTCTTCTAAATTTTTGACATTTTTCTAAAATTTGACATCAAAGCTTGAATTATAGTTTTTGACACACCTCCGCATGCAAACTGATAGCCTGTCTCATGGACAAGGAAATAGTTCTAAAGATTTTTTCAACCACCAAAACATCAGTGAGAAGCTTAACTCTGAATGTAAGTCATGCCTCACATGTAGCCAGCCTGTATAAACATTCTACACCTCCCACCTTCACCTCCCCTCTCCTGCTTCCAAATAATTCAGGACTGGTCTGGACTGGCATGACTTGCAACTTAAGCAGTTTAAGGCCTGTAAAAACCTAAGGCTTGTGTACTTGATGTTTTAGATGTGCCCTTGTTTGAACCTTTTTAGGATTAAACAGAGCTAGGAGAGGTCCCGTGGTGCATGAATACAACATACTTTCCAAGCTAACACGAGTTTAGCATTGAGACAGAGCTACCATGTGCTACAAATGCATTGATCTGCAGGAGCTTGGTATTCCTAGGCAAGAACTGGTGCTGGCTCTGGGTAGATGAGTCCATCTCTGGAATATCAGCTGACACTATTCAACAGCTGGACATATGGAAAGGATAGGCACTATTCATGAATGCGTGGGAGGAAAGCAGATAAGTGGGTTGCTGTCCTGTGAGAAGGGGTTCCTGCAGCATGTAACTACAATTAGGGAAGAGGTTGCAAAGGAACTGCAAGGGAATGTCCAAACGTGTTCAACTACTCTCTATGGATGATTTCTTGTTAGTAGAACAACTGAAGCAATAAATGATGCGAAATATATATAAAATCCCCATAAGATAAATTCCAAAAAACCAATGAAATAACAAAATAGAGGAAAAAAAATCAATCCCAGAAAAACTTCTTGAGATAGAAACAGATATTACTTAATCTAATTAATCTAAGTAACAATGATTAAACTTACAGAAAGTTATTCTCTTCTCTTTGTAAATAACATCTAAATGCTGCCTCTTCCAAGAAAAATCAGTAGACACTTCACCAAATTACACCTCCCTTACCCTAAGGCACTCTTGGGATTTTCAAAAAGTTTACCTCAAACAGTGCCAGGATAGAAATAATTTTCTAAGTTATGCACTAGCTGAAGGTAAGTAGAATGACTCAAAATGGTCAACTACAATAGCATAAGGACCCCCATAAAAGAGACACTCTTAGACTTTCACCTTCTTTTTAGCTTTCAGAATGTATACTGGATGATTTTAAACATTAATAAGAGATTAACATAAAATAATAGTTTTCTAAAATAGTATTCAGTAGTACAAAGCTGAAAATAAACATTCCTACTTTATTGCAGTAAAATTCTAATTTTGCTAGATCTCATAGTATTGAAAATTTCACAAACAACGAACAAGAACAGAGGCAGGACAAACTTTTTTCTAAAATATCAATACTCACCGTAGAGTAGAGAGAGGATGTGCTGGAGACAAGTGATAATGAGGACCCATGTACTTTAAGAAAAGGAAAATAACATGAAATATTGACAAAAGCATAAAACCTCCCCCATGTATCTCAATAAGTAAACGAATTTTTAAAATGAGAATCAATTTTCCACAAAGAGCAATTATGAGCTATCAGTATAGAATAGCTTTTGATAGATTTTCCTGCATTTAGAAACATTGTCCTACATAGAAAAACATTTTCCTGTATATGGGGCAGGTGAGCGAGCCAATGAAATTTTGTGTAATTATCAGCAAACCAAGCATCACTTTTGTTGCTTTGACAAGAAATCACTTGATAAATACACTCTTCAGAGAAACCAGAAATTGAGCTGTTTATACCCCTGTCCTAAGCTCAGCAAATGCTTTTAGTAAGAGTCTATGCTTTGGAAAACAGTTCACATTCCATTGGATAAAAACAGCTCACATTCCATGGGATGAGCTCCCAAGCTTTCCTCAGAAATGCTGACCTGTGTAGTTGTAGTCAGTGGGAAAGGGTAACTACAAGGGATAGTGACCTATTTCCCCTAATCCTTGGTGGAATCAGCCTCAAGAGCATTGAGTGAAATGTTGCAGGGCTTCACTTTAAGAAATGGGGTTCCTGGCCTACCTGGAAATGGCTATTGCAGACAAAAACTGTAAAAAAAATTGCCCCTTCTGCTTCTGATGACTCTCCTGAGGAAGGCTATACCCACAGTTAATTTCAAAGAAGATAATTTATTTCATTACCTCTTTTTATTTTTGTTTCATAAGAATTTTTTTTAATGTTTATCATTTGCCATGGTTTGATAAAAACAAAAGTTTTGCTTTTATAGCTACCTGTCTGCAAAAACAGATACTACAAGAATACCTGGACTAGCCAAATGGACTTTAAATCTAGCTTTGTATTCATAGAAATGTGGTACACTGACCTTGAAATAGAGTGGCTTCCAAAGTATGTTTTATTTTCAGCCCCTGATTTAAATGTCTGAGCTAAACTGTCATTCTGCATTCATATACAGTGGCTCCATGTACTACCTCACTTGTTTCACTTTAACCTTCCTCAGAGCTCCTATCTTAAAATACATTTGACCTTCTAACAGCATCATTTCATGTTAATCTCTAACGATCGTAAACTGCTGAAAACTGTTTATTACTGCTGCATTGACTTTCATTTACTCAGGTTATCCACTCCAGCTGGATAAGACACATAACCAATGAAAAAGCTTTCATCAAACCCACTGGTGGCCCATTACCGAAATTCTACATTTAACACCTCTTTTTCTATGCATAAATTGCTTTGTTTTCTCTATTATTCTTCCAGTGTTTCCTTTGATAATTCTGTTCTTCAGCAAAGGGTCTGTAGTCAGCTCTGTCCTTGAATTATGTGATATTCTTCTGTGCAGTCAGCCATCCTCTCTGTGCTGACAACTCACAGCTTGAGTTGTCCTGCACCCTACTGCTAGTATTACATACCCAGATGTCTGCCTGATATATCATCTAAAATACAGTAAAAAGAATCAAAAAATAGAAGCATTATTTGTCTGTTGTTTTTATCTAAGACTTTCCCCCCCCTTTTATCTTGTAACTATGACCTTTGGAGCTAAGGCAAGACTTTTTTAATTTGCCTATTATAATTTAAATTGCCATCACTTAGCAGTAAACAAGATGAGTGTTATAGAATAAATTGCACAGAATTTCAGTTGTTTAATTAAAGTGTTTAAGGACTTTGCACTCATGTGAATTTGGCAAATAATCAGATTTACCAGAAATATTAGTCAGAAGAAAATGTTACAGTGCATTTAATTAGGATTTGTCAGGTTCTCTGTGGATGAAAAAAAGCAAAACCCAAAACCAAACCAAAAACTATTCACCAAGTTCCAGATGTTGCAGAGAACATTAAAGAAATCAGACAGTAATAATCTGCATAAAAGAAGTGAGGTCAGTTTAAATTACAGAATTTCAATACAGAAATTCACATGATGTTTGCTGCAGAAGGCTGTGGGGAGTTTAAATGGCTACAAAAGAAAAGAGATGCTAAGTAGCACTGGTGTTTGGGGAAAAAAAGGAAGCACAGAAGTAGGACTAAGAAAGCAGAGAAACACAGTAATGAAGGTACATTCAGAATTTTGGATTTAGAGGAAAAAAGAGTAATTTTCCAAGAATGGCTTCCTTTTCTCCAAAATTTCTGATAGAGGATTTGTACATGTATGAGATACATACAGCATTGCTTATTACTGGGTGAAAGTAATGCCTTCCATGTTTTAGGATAAGGAAAGCTTGCGAGTCCAGCTCAACAGGATTAAAAAAAGCTTCACAAAATAATTAAAGTTTCTGTGGTGTAGGGTACAGAAGAAATATTTTAAAATTTTACTATGCTTTGGACACCTATTCTGGGACGTGTTTGCCCAGTAGTTACTCAGTCTTACCTTCTTCCATGCTGTCCCTGAATGAACCTGAATGACTGATTGCTCGTGGTCTCTCTTCTAAGGACGTAGCACTGCCACACAGCTGGGAGTCATCATAGAGCTCAAAAGAAGTGTCTTGTGCAGGGATGCTGTTTGAACGCATCATGCTGGGTCCAGGAAGGTTAAACTGTGATAGGTTGGTTGGACTCACTGGAATAAAAAGCTTTATTAATGAAGCACTTTTCCATTAAGTGACTTTTGCTTCTGCACAAAATTGTAATGTAGGACTTGTACGGTTAGGTGGACTTCATGCTGTTGAGATAATGGAAGGCTTTTATTCCTACATTAAAAGCTTCAACAAAAAGGTGGAGCAGATGGCCTCAAAGGAGCTGGATGACATTAATCCTATAAAACACACGGTAACGCTAACACTGGTGTCTGAACATCCTTTGGTAGCCCACACTAAATCAATGGGGGAGATTCAAAAGTTAAAAAGGAATGAAGAGGTCATAAATATGTTTATAAGCAGCTCTTCTAATAAATCAGTATCTGTATTTTATAGTTGTATACCTGTATTGTTGACTGCTGTTCAGGCCAAAGTTTATTTGCATACGCAAGACATTTATCCTTTGATTTTTAGGAGCACCCACCACTATATTAGGTTAAATATTTGTGCAAAGGCCTCAGTTGACTTCGTCCTAATAAACAGGTATAGTCAGACACGGCTGAAATCAAGAGCAGCACTGATGAACCTACTTTAAGTTTCACAAAGCTGTTTTGCCAGTAGAAAGGAAAGCCCGGCTATGGCTCCCCAGGACCACACAACCTCAATGCCTAGAGGAAAAAGCTAACTGTCTAGCCAAATTCAGCCTCAGTATTTGGGCTTTTATTTTAGATCATCCAAGATGTGTTCTAAGTTATAGACTAGCAGAACAGCTCTGTTGTGAGAGCAAATGATTCCACAGGGCTATGAAAACTGAAATAAAGCAAAGGACAATGAAGAAAAAAAAATTAAACCCCATGATCTTATTTCTCTCTATTGTGAGTTCACAAGAACTATGAACAATAAGAAAATTAGATAATTGTAAACAGAAAATAATATAGTGAAAAAACACTTCTTAGAACTGTGACACTGAAAAACTGTGTCTAAAACTACAGGAGGGAAAATCAAAGCAGTGGCTTGTTTAGCAAGGATCCAATTTCATTTTTAACAGTAGCTTAGCTCAACTTCTTTTCCTGTATATAGAAAAGACTAACATGTGTATGTTTGATCAAATTTCTTTTGAGTGATCATAACCTATGGATGCCATAAGCTGTGACAGAGAGATATAAGTCTTAATTCTTCAAGGGATGTTAGTAATTCCTTACTAGGGGTCTAAATCATAACAAGCTCATTGTGAACCTAAGTATGTGTCAAGTACAGTTGAGATAAGTGAGTTTTATTCAGAATTCAAGAAAGAAATAATACTATAAAAAAAAACCAACAAAACAACAACCCGTGTTGGATTAATTTGAAACAATATTCAGAAGAACCAAATCTAAACCTTGGTTTGTAATCAAATAAAACTGCAGTGTCACTCACATCCCAAAATACTATATTGCATTCAAAGTTAGGTTTGGATGGGGCCCAATGCAGTTATAGTCAGGTCCAGCTACTGAAACACATTGGAAAGATCTATCTCAAAGCAAATTTATATGTAGGAAAAATGCAATGTTTAGTTTCTGACATTCACTAAAATCATTGGAAAGAACACTACTGACTTTGAAACCTAAAAGATGGATGGCTTTGAACCAGAAGCGAATTTCCAGCTCTCCTGCAAAATTTATCTCCTTTGTCAAGTCATAAAGAATCTGTGCTTTTTTTCCTCTGTGCAGAATAGGTGGTACCCTGGCCCACTTCCTTACCAACACTGTGAGTTTCCTCTCATTAGAGAGGTACAACAATATGGTGATGAAAATGTTAAAAATAAACTACCTTGTATGGCAGACTAAGAAATATGTACAGCTGAATTTTATGGTCCTATTGCAGAGGGGGAGAAACAGTGAAGGGAAACAGCATTTACCCAGGTTGGAAAAGTGATATTTTCCAGTTGCAGATGAAGACATAGCTGAAGGAGAAACAAGTGGGGACTGACTGCCAGTGTCTTGCAGGCCTCCAGTTGAGTGGGAGCGTAGCCATTCTTTGCCTTCCTCCTGACTTGTCTGCCGGGATGATGGTGTATATCTGAAAAACCACAGCTGACATGCTCAAAACAATGACAAGGTGATGTTTTAGAAAGAAACAGCTGTCACATAATTACCCTTCACCAGTTAGATAGAACAAATCCCTAGGAAAACATCAAATCCAGTCAAATGATTATCACCAGAGATTTTAACTAGGGAAATTTACCATTGGGTTGCACCGAAAACATACAGGACTCGAACCCCCCATACTCTTCATCCCCCTCCCCAAAACAGAAGAGACAGGATGATAAACTATAGCAGACAGACACCTGAGCTGACAGAAAAGGACTTCAAAGCTATAGGAAGTGTACAGGTTGATGCAAAAGCTTGGAAGCTGTATGGTTAGGATGGGGAATGGGCAGAATAGAAGCCAAGGAACGTTAGTAGCCACTTACAAAATGACATCTGTCACACATCATGTGCACAACTGATTAGATGACAGGAGTGAAACAGATCAACAACTCTGAAAAAGGAGTTTGCATTGGTAATGACAGCTATTCATGGTCATATTCACGTGGTCTCCTGCTCTGAATGCTACCTGACATTGTGTCCTGCCCCAAACTGAGGGGAGGGAAAGGGACAGGAAAAATAAACAATTAGCAGAAACAAGTTCTCTGGAAGGAAGAAGTCTGGCAATCAAACAGTTAATCAACTGCTTCCTATGGTAAACCAATAGAACAAGTGCAGTGTGACATGTAGGCCAAGAGGGACAGCTGGTAACTCACTGGTCCATCCTTGGCAAAGCTGGAAGAAGGGCAATTCTGGTAGTGATTAAACATCAAAATACGCAGACAGTGTGGGTCTTAATCAAGAGATTTGTTTTCAGCAATGTCTGCAATTCTGAATGAAATGCTTCATTTAGACATTATCCTGCTGAGAAATGAACACCTTCTTCACTACTGTCAAGAGCCATAAGTGTTCCCCAAAACAGCAGATCAGAAAGAAATTTTGATATTCTGGCCGCAGGCTTGTGAGGCACAAGTGTTTCTGCTTAGACAGAAGATTAAATGAATATGTAAGTTCTTGTGTTGTGCTTGCATTTTTCTACCATATTTTACAGCAGTAAACCATCTTGTCCTTATTAAATATTTACTTCCTTTCTCCTTTCAAAAATACAACTATGATCTTTGCCTGTAATTGTGGTAGAGCACAGAGTTACTGAGTGGTTATCAGATTGGAAAGATGGTAAAATGAGAATTCAGGATCTAAGTTTTGGACAGGGATGTCTGCACATTAAATCAAACAGAACTTTTTTCCTGGGCTAACTGATCATTCTCACATGCCTATAAGCATTCTCCCTACTCCAGTTCACTTTCAGCTTTCAGCCACCATTACAGCTGAACATCCACAAACTTTGATCATCCCACTGTATCCTCGTAGAGCACCCATTATGCTTTTAATGTCTTCCACCTTTTCCATTCTCTCTAAATCCAAAATGATTGTTTTGTGATTATGGAAAACTTGACTGAATTCTTATTAAGGAACAGCTAGTGCAGAAGGTCAGAAGGTGCATTATAGTGACAATAGTTAACAACTATCTTAAAATTTCATAAGTATTTATTCATAACACATAAAATGTAATGGTGTAATTTCAGTTATTGGAAAGCTGCAGTGTCTGTGTGCATGCACATATATTCTTGCTTGCCAAATCTTTTTCCTGGACTGGGGAGATGGGCTTCCATGCCTCATGAGACCAGCCAAGTTACCTAATGATCCACTCTTTTCACCGTGGAGGAGAGAAGAGGGTGGATAAATTCTATTTTCTGTGATGAGGACAGAGTTTAGTGAAGAGTTAGTAGCAAAGTTGAACTCTATGTATTGCTGGATAAGGACCAAGAAAACTGTATGCAGCAGCATGCATTTTATACTTAGAAACCTTGGATAGCAAAATTAGTATTTTCTAGCCCTACCCTTTAATAGCTCTCCAGTTCAAATTGCATGAGTGTTTGCTTGAGTCCAAAGTCACATCCACCTCTAAAACCTTGTTTTTCTCCATGTTTTCAATAGTTAGTCCTATTGAATTGCACAAATATCTTGTTCTGTCTCTTTTAGCTCTCCAGAATTCAATGCCTTTTAAGATTCATTGCATAAGGAAATGATCCCTAATAGTATTTACTTTCCATAGTATATCTTGAAAGAAGATTTATTCCTTAGCAAGACATGGAAAGAAAAAGTCCATTGTTAAAATTTACATTTTCTGGTTTGAATCAAAATTCCAAGAACTCTGTTGGAAACAGGATCAACAAAAGGAGAAATAAAAATAAAGGCAGCATAGAAAAAGTTACAAGAAAATAGAGAAGCAGCAGTCATGCTCAAAAAAAAAAAATATATATATACCTTAATCCCTTTTTGGGTAGTGTATTTCTGTCAAGCTGCATGCTGTTAAAACAAAAAAAATCCCTAAGGACATACAGTAAACAGGACTGTTCAGAATTACAAATTTTAAAGCTCTAGGTTTGTGTGCATAACAGAAGGTCATTTAATGCTTTTTAATACAACTTTCATGATAAATACTTTACTCATTGGAAAGAACAATAGGACATGGACTGCTGCACATTCATTTTTCATCTAGACATGCTCTGGGCTGGGTCAATAGTAATTTGGAGACTGTCCAAGTCAGAAAGAAGTGCTTCTTTACCATGTCTAACCTTTCTACAGCTTTGCTCTGCAATTTGTGTGAGAATCGTATGGTCACAGCATGAATCTTTATTTTTCACAGTTGCCTATGATAAGGCAATAGATTTCCAAAAGAAATGAAGGTTCTGGCACCTGCTAAGAGGCAGCATGGCCTTGCCAGAAGCCAAATGGTAGCTCTGTGTGTAGAAATATGTCCTAAAAATTCAGATGCTTGGCTTTCTGTTGTTGAGGGGCTCACATAGTAAGGTGATGGTAGGGACAATGAAAAGTGGCACCAGAATAATGTTGTTCCATTTCCCTGCACGCAAACTGTCAGAATGGCTGATTACCCAAAATATATTCATGCAGTTTTCCTCATTTAAACCACATCCCTAAAAGAGCACCCACTAGCCCTCCTTCCAAGTGTCATTTCAGCATTTCATCATAAAGTCTTGGTAAATTGGTCTCTGGTCAGTGTGGTTTGAACTAGTTATCATCAAGTAAGTGTTGCAAAATTTTCTCCCTTTAGAACATAGCTTAGTGTCATCATATGGATTAAATGACAAAATGGCTTTTGAAAGCTTTTGTATTACATATCATAATCACACCTCTGAGAGCAGCAATGACTTAGGACCCTTGCTACCCAACACATACCCTTATTAAAGGTGTTTCCTATTGTGCTGTGGGTGATGGGAGCCCTAATGCCTTGAATCCTTGATCCTAGTAGATAAAGGCAGTGAAAACACTGTTGGCATGGACAATGCATTACTATCAGGGCTTAGGCAAATGGAAAGAAACTACTCTTACCACCAGGAAATTTTACAGACAATTTTACTAGTTTAATAAAGGGCCTTGTTCTGCATTTGGAGAAACAAATGGAAGGAGAAAAATAGCAGTACTTCAGCACAGGCCCAGTTATCATGGTCCATGTGAGAGTAGTCCCATATTAGACAGAGGACTTTATTTTCAGCATTTTGTCCCCAACGTATATAACAGGACCTAGAATGGCTGGCAAAAAGAAAAAATAAATTTGAATGAATGATTCACTATTTTTTCCTTCACAGAGAAAAATGGGGCCTTGATATTCCTTTATTTACCTTTATGCACCTCTAAATTTCAAGATTAATAAACATGATCATAACATCAGTTTCTTATGCAAACACTTAAAAGTTCAAATGAACAATGTATTTTCCAATATTATTTTAACTTGGAGATATATGTATTTCAAAGTAATCTATAGCACATTATCTAAAAATAAAGGAGTCAGTGCTCCTTTAAGCCAATCCACAAATCAAAAGGTATGCCAGTCATATAAGTAGGTTAAGAGTGACCATAGCATTTTCCAAAACTCTTTTGAATTCAGATATCAAATGAAATAGGGATGAATGTTCCTCAACATAAACACGGAGTTATTGCAACTGCATTAAAGTGAGTGTACCAAATGCTCATTGTGTGTTTTTAAAATAATAAAGCTTACAAAGATGCTCCTAGATTTCAGATAATTGTATAAAACCATTAAGCATGGTTTCATGTAACTATTACTTCAGACCAATAACTGCCCTTATCTTTTTAATATCTGAAATCATTCATCCACCAAAACCTGGGTTCATTGCTTCCACAGAAACTGGACTTTTTGTAAATAGAACTTAATCTACCTCATATCTCTAAAGTTGATAATGATAATAAAGACAGTCCTTTCCTGAAAGAAGCAATGCATACCTGGACAAAGACCAGTATAAAGTGAGGATGAGAATATAATATTCCTGATATTTTCCTTTGCAATGTAAACTGGAAAAAGCAATCTTGCAAAAAGATGAATTAAGACATAGGCTGAAGTTGTCAAACCCACTGTATCTCATTCTTTTTTGCTTATTTTACAGTGGTGAAACTGACTGCAAATTCTATGAGGGAAATTACAGGAAGCCTTAATTTCCTCATTTTCCTACCTGCCCTTGGTGATGAGGTTATCTTGGGAAAGGGCCATAATAGTATGTCCTTTAGCTACATCTAACTCTTTCAGAGCTGCTAGGAAATAAAACAAGTTATTGCAAGCTAAGAAACAACTAGAGAGCTCCATGACAGCTGGGCCAAGCTGATATGGGTCTTACAAATTGGTTTCTCTAAAGGCTAGGCATATAAGAAAATCTGATACATGATGCACTGTTTCACACTTTAAAACCACAACTATCAATTATGAGAATTTAAAATAATTGAAAATCTTGAAGGGCTTAAGTGGACTTCAATGCACTTTCATAGCACTCAAGACTAATTCTTTTAAAGCAGTAATATTTTCTATCAACCCCAGATGATGTTTTTATTTTAGAGTATAAATACCTGCATGATTATTTTAATCCCTCTAAATTTCTGTAAGGCAAAATACAAGTGTCCTCCCATATAGGGAACTACACTGCTATGACAGTAGAATTAGACTTTTCTAAATATTTCTAAACCTACCAAATATGTGCAAAACCAACAAAAGGCCTAAGAGAGATGCAAAATCAGCCTTCCTTCTGAACAAGAAAATATTTTTCTTGCTTTTACTGGTTGTTACAATGCCACAGAATCTCATTCAATGATGCAGAGTTTGGCTAGAGTAAACTTTGGCACTTCACTCCAGGAGTTTTCAGGCAACTCTGTGTTGATGCCGTACCATCACTTAGTGGGCCGCCTGAAAACTGTGGGCAACATCTGATCTTCCCTGGAGAGATACGTGGGAAAATATAGCAGAGACTTTACAGATTTGCTGTCTCCAAGAAAGATGACTTTTTTTGGAGGCAGTCAAGGGCTACTTTCCTTCACAGAAAATATAGATGTACCCTGAGATTTTGCTCTCATTTTCTGTGTTCGTTCCAGCTGTTATTTCCTGAAACTTGACATTCCAAAGTCTCAAGTTAAAGCCTTAATGTGAGAAAGTATAATGGGATAACTACTTTCTAAAATGCTATATTTTCATTTTCAAAATTATTTGTCCCAGCACAGCACTACAACTCTGTACACATGTTCTGCAAGACAGCATCACTACTTTCCATTTGGTATCTATGCAAATATATCCTGCCCTTCAGACTTATAAGCCTTTGGTCAGTCATCTTCCGTAACTCTTTACCAACTAGCATTTTTATTTTCCCCGTTTGCTTATGAGAGCAAAGCAACAGCACTTAAAGCTTTAGGAAATTCAGGATTTTTAGTGCATTTACTATTTTCCCACTATTCAGAAAGCATGTTTTCCTGCAAATGAATTAAATTAGTCTTTATTATTTAAAAGGCTGTTAATAGCTAATCCCATGTCATCTGTTACCTAACCTATTTTGTTTAATGTCTTCTGTATTTTTCTAGGCAAACTGGCCTTCCCATAATCCACTCGCCCTCTATCCGAGCTCCCCTCCTCACTCTTTCCTCAGCAAAGACCCTTTAAAAACTTTTCTTCAGTTCTAACAACTGCAGGGCTTTCAGGCTCGGTCTGAAACAGCGAAATGAAAAGTTCATGAGGAACAGTAAATCAAAGATATCTTTAACCTTTTCATTTCCTCTTAGCATGCTTGCCATTACTGATATTTATCCATCAAGTTACAGCTAATGCTTCAATGAAACAAATCCATATTCTTTTATATCATCTGTTATTATCTCTCTCCTCTCTTTCAGTTTTTCCTGCATTTTCTCTGCACAGACTTTATGTTGTTTGCTAGTTGTACCTCACTGTGCACTTTGGTCTTTATGATTTTATCCCTACATTATATTAGTACATCTGATTATAAGGACTGATGATTCAGCCTTTTGCAAGCTCTAGGGTGACTGAAGAAAAAGAAAAATCTCCTTACAGATCATTTTTTTATGCTATGCCATGCTATAATTAGTATAATCAAAAGCATTTCAAATATGAGATTACAAAGAAAAAATGACATAATGTGCTGCAAAACATCTGTGTCCAACGTTGCAAATCAATGCTTTTGTTGTGAAAAAATACTTTGCTACAATGAAAGGTTTAATGTATAAAAAGAGTTTAGAAACTCAGTACTTGTATCAAGCCTTTCAGAAAAATCGAACTGCAAAAACCCTGTTGGGGCTATAATTCAAGAAATGACACCATTTACTCTAGGTACCTACATTTGTTTTGAGGTCAGATAAACATGAACAATGGCTCTCTCTGGACTCAATCGTAATATCTCCATATGGACTAATCCGAAATTTAAAAATATTGCCAACGGCAAAATATTTGGAACCACTGAAATTAAGTCACTGAACAAACACATAAAGTATTAGCAGTGGGGGTTGCTCAGAAACTTCTGCCAAGGCATTAATTTTTGAAATGTGATGCTTAAGATCCTGCATATCAGAATAATTTTTGGCATGAACTCATACTCGTCCAAATTATTCTATTGACCTCACCATCCATATATGTGGCAGCGAAGGATTTTGTAAGCTTATTATTCATAACTGACCTTTAATAAATATTGTCACATTCAGTTCACAGTACACAAACTCAAATTTCTATTTAAAAATTAAAGGCAGAGTGTAAACTCCAAATTGCTCAGGTATCTGTATTTATAACTACTGCATTGTTAACAATACTATGTATTGTTAGTGTAGGTTATATTGGTACATATATATGCTTTATAATTATTAAAGTAATATATTACTATGTAATAGTAATATAATTTGTACTTATATTAGTAAGAGGCGTGATTTTTAGCTGATATAGTAATACTTATAAATGTAACATAAAAAAATGAAATCTATGACAAGTTTCCATCTAGGTTTCTCAAGGTTTGGATTATGAAGGTTTTTTTTTAATGCTGGCTTACTGAAAGTGAATTCTTTCTATGCAAAGGATGAGTATTGAACAATCTCTGAGTTTATATAAAGGGCGAAAAAACTTGATGTATGTTAAAGGTCTTTTCTCCTTAAAATGTTTGTGATGTTAAAAAAATAATTAAGTTTAAAATATTTTTGACTGTTTCAGTAAAATTTTAGTTTTTGAATAAAAGACTAATGAAATATTTAATACTGATTTTACAGTCCACATGTGAGATCAGAGTTTCACTGTCAAATCCTGAAAATTTTCATGGGACGCAGAACTTACTTAGTGCCTAGCAAAGATTATTTTCTTCTCTCCTGCAAAATCCAAATAAATGTATCACCAAAAAAAAAAAAGAAAAAAAAAAAAAAAGAAAAGACAAAACCAAACAAACAAAAAACCCAAAAAATCTTGGTTCCACTATGCCAGGCTGGTTGCACCTTTTATAATGTAATTTAAATGGTTAAACACTAGCATAACAAAAAACTCTTTAATAGAGTAATCAGAAAAACATTTTCTTGCATTTCTTTATCTGTTCTGGGCACTTGACAGGACTGACCATATAGCAAGGATCTCATTTTGTAAACTCTCTCCCTGCCGGTGAAGCTGCACGTCAGTAAGGATCTGTGTAATTCTTACCATGTAAGAAGAAACTTATTAAGACTGAGTATTTTAAGCCAAGACTGGTCAGCTGAAGACCAGGACACACCAGCTCTGCCTGTGCTTTGAGCTAATAGGAAAAGAAAAGTGGGGATCCCACAGCTGGAGGTTTGCTTGCTTTGGAACTGCCAAATGTTGGGACAGCAGGTGGGTCCTGCTGCAGGAATCATTATGTGCCTCTTGGCTGTTTACACTTGCCTTCAGTTAGACAATTTTCCCCCTTTTCTCTCCAGAACAAGGGAACTCAAAAAAATTCTCAAGAAAGAAAAAGTGCTTGTAAAACCTTAAAAGGCAGTTGATTCCACATTACAATGCCTTTCAGTTCTCTTTTCTTCCTTCCTTTTGTTACATAAAGGACTAAGCTGCTAATTAAACAGTGTCCCTTTAGCAAAACAGGTGGATGGTTTATTTTTTTGGCTCCTGTCCTTTTGCCTCTCACTTATTTCGTGGTCACTATATCTATAGGCAAGCTCACCTTTCCGAAAGAGTAGATCTGACGCTTCCAGTCCTCATGAGCAGGCTCTGAACCTCCTGAGTGCTTGTTGTCAGTCCAGAGAGAGAGCCATGATGGCTAAGAGGGAGGTCAATAGACTCGGAACTGGTGTGAAGGCTAGTCATGGACTGGTAACTTGGTGTGTCCTTACTGCCCGCTGAAGAGCTGCTCAGGTTTGCAGCCCACACAAGAGCACCTGATGTAAAAGAGTGCACTGAGGCAGGACTGGAAGCCAGGGAGTGACTTAAGCTTACAACATCTGCATTTAAGTCCGAAGGTTTACTGAAGAGGGGGCTGCTGCTACCACTTTGCCCACCTGCACTGCCCATGCTGCCTGTGCCCGAGGATGGCGATTCCAGGCTGCCTTGCCGTGCCAATGTGGTACTAGGGCTGGGCATTGCCGATGTGGGTTTCACACCTTCAGTACTGGGTGCAGAGGCAGCTTTACCACTTGCCTTGGCACCAAACAACCTAAATGTAAAACAAATAGCTTTAGAGAAACTGATAGCCGCATTAAACATTCATGGCGCAACATCCTAAGAGCCAAACTACACAGTTTTAATTACTGCTATGAAAAATCATGCCTACCTAGATGATCAATCGCAGAGCAAATTTAAATTCACTTAACCATATCACAATAATCATGGTTTGTTTCTTTAGTAACTGCTCTTATTCACTCTATTCAGATGTGCTCTTTGCACAGACTCTCCCAGAGAGAGGTAAAATAATCACGTTTTTGTCTTATTAGTTCATAAACAGATTACACTTTCACTCAAATTCAGTAATTAAGCATTCCCAAGTCATTAGCTTTTAAACTCCTCACTTCTCAAAACTGCTTAAACGATTGCAACAAACACTTGCAAAATCCTTCATAATTTAATAAACATCTAAGTATTTGTGCAAAATTCCCCTCTTGTCATTTTTTTGCACAGATGGTCACGTGGTCATCAGTCATGTAGTAACCACTCAGACAGAATAAACTGCACCATGGCTAAATGAGCTCAGTTTGTCTCCAAGGGCAGGAAAGATAAAATTATATGTCACATAACATCTTCCAGCAATTCTAGATATGAAAATTCTATAGTGATGATGAAAAAATAAACTGCAACTCCTCTAAAATTTGAACTAAAAGGTCATGTGATGTTTTAATGTATTTCTGGAAATATTTTAAGCTGCGGTTAATGCACAGCTTATAAATTAAAGGTAAATAAATGCAAAACTTATCATGATATATAGTAAGTATGTCTAATATCGTAAGAATCCGTTTTACATTTTACCAAGCCCACAAAATGAAGCTGCAGCTCCCCAGCTGCCTAGAGATGCTGTTTTGGTAAGTATGCACAAGAGGGCACTATTGGCTTTTTCTCCAGCAGTGCAAGTGCTCCATCCCAATTCATGGCACACTCATGCAGATTTATACTTCCAGAAATGTTACAATACAGCATTTACAATTGAAATTCAGCCTTGCCAATGCTTGTGTCGAAAAATATAATGAAGCTGCTAAGATAATGAAGTGTTTGTAGCTGGAGCTGCCAACAATGTGAAAGCAAATCTAACTCCTTACAATTTATAAAGAGCTCTTCAGTTCTCCATCCAGGACACGGCAATGCCTGTTCCATTAAGAGAATGTGCCTGAACATCCTGTCCTTCTTCCCTCTGGGGGTTTAACACAGTATTGAGAAGAAGCTGCACATGTGGCTGAACTTAGAATCATAGAAGATATTGAGTAGGAAGGGACCGATAAGGATCAGTGAGTCTACCTTCTAAGCTTCCAACTATGGTTATGAGCATGAACCTCAAATACTTAAACCTCAAGAAGCAGCCATTTCAGGTCTGGAAAGGTCTTCAAATCTCTAATAAATCATCATGTTGTATGAAAAAAATACTGCCCTTTTATTTTCCTATACTTGACTTGTTTGTGGCAAAATATTCCCTGAAAAGGCTTTTTGCACAGTACTTCAACATATTGCAAATCCCTGATATATATTGCAACTTCAGGGAATCATAGAAATGCACTAACCTTCGAAATGTGGGGGAAGCAATATCTGGGTATTTGGATCCTGGCTGTCTAAGTCCTGGTGTGCCAGAGGCGCTTGCGGAAGTTGGGCTGGATTTAGGGGAGCTGGACAGTGAGACGCTTTCAGAATCTGACACGGCCACTTTCTCTTTTTCCTTGTCTGTCTGGTTGACGGTGACAGGGCTGGACCTCCCGGACCCGATCTTGCTTGGCTCTCGCAGTTTGGTGGCAGCAGCACCCGCAGACTTGCTGCTCACATTGGAGTCGATGCTGCTGGTGCTGGAGCGGTGGCCGCCCCGGCCAGGGATCCCACTGCCGCTGGATTTCGATGGGCGAGGCAGACTCCGGTACTGCAGAGTTGTCTTTGAGCTCACATGCAGGACGCCGTCATCCTGGTTTTGGGAACCGTCTAAGCTTGTCTTCCTTCCTGCGTTGGACTTCCCACTGATGGCTGAAGATTTTGGAATTTTTCCTAGTGTTGCTGACCCACTTGTGATGGTCGCTCCACTTGTGGTGATTATAGTAGAAGATCCCAACCCAGACTTTTTGAATCCAAATGACCCTGTAGCAGTTGATCTCCCAATGCCAGAAGGAGGCTTTTTCCCTTCATCACCACTGCTTTTTCCTGCATCTGATGGAGATCGCTGTATGGAGGCTCCTTTCAGGGGAGTTTTCACTTTTTCTGAAGCTTTTGCATCATCAGTTTTTCCTAAGTAGAAGTATAGTTGAAAAGTCACTTGTGTTTAATCTGCAATGTCTAAATATCTAATTTCAACACTGTATGATTATACTTTCAAAATAAAAAAATACATGAACATAATTCCCCTAAAGAAACAGACTAGTATGGTCTTTAGTCCCCCATCAGCTATCTGTAGCAGGTATGACATATTACAGGTAAGCCCAAAGCATTAAAATCTTGGAATTCCCATGAGAACTTACAGAACTTTCATATATAGGTGGTAAATGTAGTTGTAGAAGATTATCTTGAAAGAACTATAAGGAATTTGGACTATTTTTTTTCTGTTAACAGTATTTCTACATGAAAGAAATAATACTTGAAAATAGAACATTACACGTAATAAACATCTCCTGAAGTATGACATCAATTATGAGTGTAGAAACAAGTGGTACTTATAGAGTTCTTTGGTTTTCACTGATTACATCTTTTTACCATATGACTAAGTTTGTTCTGGTTTTAGTTACACAAAATTATTAGGGAGAGATTATGCTATGGAACACATTGTCTTGATTTGTAACAATATCAATTACACAAGTTAATTAGTCTTTGTCGTATCCTTGATGGCTTCCCAAGATTTTTGATTTTTTGAGAGGTTTCCTTCAGTCCTGTGGATGGCTTGTGACTATATAAGATATATTTATAAATTTCTTCCATCTTTTATAAAACCTTATTGTAACATGCAGAAACGATGAAGTAAGATGTTCTGCTATACCAGGAAGTACCCTCTTCCTGTTTTACAATAGATAAAAATTACCATTTCAATTCTAATTTATCTCTAAGGATCTATTGTATACCACTAATAACTCCCAAAACATACCAAGTTTTTTAGTTTACTCTTGAAGTAATTATGGAAGCCTTGGAGGTGCATGACCTAATTTCTCTTAAGAAACTAAAATGTAATAAAGAGTAACACCTGCAAAGCAGAACTAATTCCACTCATGTTTTTATCCTGTTTTTAATTTTATTTTATGTTACACAATTCCATGATACCAATCAGACTCTGACCCAGCAAACATACAGCTCATTAGTAGTTAAGGCACAGTGGCTGCATTATCACAAAACAGATCGCGAAAGCTTAGCTTGGTGTGCAGCAAACCTTTTAGTATCTCCACTTCTAATTGCTATTAGAGGGTATAGTTCCTGTATCCATATGATCACCATGGCAGTGCTCCTCAGGGATCTCATGGACCAGAGACTGATCAATGTTTGGCAGTTCCAAATTACAAAGAAACAAAAGGCATTCACAAAGGTAGGAATTTATTCTGAGGAGATCTTTGTTAGTTGCCTTTACAACTAGGGGTTGTACCATGCACTGTTTTATCAGGACATGAAAAAGACCCAGAAAATCTTCCAGTGAGAATACACAGTTCCTTAGTAAAATGATGGATTAGGATTAGATGGTTTTAATAATTATCTATATTCACCAGCTTTGGATTTTTTGCTTCAAAACTAGATTGCAGAAGCAGTTACTACTTCTAAGACGTCTTCCAAAATTAGGTAAGAGGGCATTTAGCACTGAAAGTGTGTAAAAATACTTTTTTAAAAAAAAATTTTATTGCTTAAGAGTGATCTGTAGAATACGCATAGTATGTGGAATGTGATAATCTAACTTTAGTTCAGAAGCAACTAAAAATATAATTTGGAATTCCCTCCTTTGGATATTAAATCTTTTTGACTCAGCTTCTAATATTTGGCCATTTCTTTGCATACATTGAATTATCAAAGGTAGGTTTTTCTAGAGAATAAGGGTAAGGCACAGATGAGTCCAAAAATACGTCTAAGAATTAACAGATGTTGACATACACAGATGATAGCACAACAAAATGCAATCACAGTTTTTGTTATAGATGCACCCATGTGTACTTAATAAATTATTATTATGCATGTAGCAAACTAACAATTACAGAAATAAAAAAGTTATTATAATATTACAATCTGAGCTTCCAGTCATTTATGGAAGTAGAGAACAATAAGCATATAATACGTATACATATTTAACATCCATCAATTATTTTAAGACCACTGTAACCTGAACTATCAAAGTTTCCTACCTGGGGTCTTGAGTGCACTTGTTCCTGCTTTGTGCCTGGACTGAGTTGTTCCTACTTGTGCAGTCATGCCTCTCCTCCAAGATCCGGTCTGTGATACAGACAGAGATGTTTTCTGCCCCCCCTTCTCTGACTCTTCAGACAGCCCTGAGGGAAGGCCCTTCCACTTGCCACTGCTGTCTACGCTGCTGTCAAAGTCTTCCTCTGGCTTCTTCAGCTCTTCAGTGCTGCCCCAAGTTTCACTGTCTGTAACTGAGCGCTTCTCTGAGTCTGTCTTCAGCTACAAGAGATTTGTGTGAGAAATGGTCAGTCCCAGCATCTCCATTATTTGCTGATTTCTTAAATCATAGTAGGGGAGGAGAATTTGGTCTATTTGTGGCAAGGGCCACAGAAACTTTCCTTCTAAAACATTAGCACCCTGATTTCAAAAGTTTAAAAACATACAAAATATAGCCATTTGGGGATAACGTTTCTCTTTCTTTTATTTGCAAAATATTTAATCCCCTTCCTTTATAGATAAACTATAATAAAGTGAAATGTAATTCACTCTAATAATCAGTGGCGATACCCTAATGTTCTTCAATTCAGTCTGAATTTCAGAAGCGAATCACTGTGCTGAGAGGTTTTACTAAAAGCTTGGGTGAGCAAATTCCTGAATATACTTCTAAAATCAACTCAGTCTGTCTTCTTGCCATTTCCTACCCAAGGCTTCTAGTGACTGGATTAGCAATATTTTTTCAGCAGAACAGAGTATGTTGTGCCACCAGAGAGCAAGGATAGCATCTTCTCCAAAAATATTTGTGCTACAGCTGATGGCTTTTCTACTGGTCTGTTTCCACAGAAATTAATTGTTTCCAGCAAGAAACTCTCTCTAGCTATATCAGCCAACAGAGCAGAAGAGAGGCTTATGCCAGCACTACTCATCCATGGTGAGAAGGCAACCAGCTGGGCTCATGCTCCCTCTGAAACTGAGACCCATGTGGAGGATGCACCAGTGAGGATCTAATCCCCCTGTGGCATCTGCTTTCCCTGAGGCATGCTGATAAGGGAGTGCTGAAGGAGCAGCCCAAGAAGACACTGTAGAAGCTGTGAAAGTGGCTTAAATAGAAACAGACTGACCCTGCTCGCTGTGTTTGACAAGACTGGTGTTCTTTGTGCTGACAGGCTGTTGGGTGTAACCCTCCCTTCTGTGTTTTTCTGCAGCCTCCTGACCTCAGTCTAAAGCCTTATTTGCACATCACCCTCTCACCACTCCTGCTTGCCTCTGCCTCTTTTTAACAGCAAATATATGGTGCTGCTCTCAGGTATCACCAGCCTAAGAGGGGCTGCAAAATGGATCTCATTGAGGGACAGGCTATTTCTTATCCTGTGCTGTCACAGCTCCTTCCCCACAGAGACCCCTCTGTGGCTGTTTCCTAGGAACTGCTGCCATGAGGAGGATTAATACCGATTACATGACCAACAGAATAATCAGTTCCTGTTTACATATTTGTCAGCTGAGGTGTACAAAAGGCAAAAGCTCTCTACATTTCCATAATTATGTATGTGCTTTGGACATGCTAGCACAGATTATGGGTAAGAATTAATGGAAAAAAAGCCCAAGCAAAAATATCTACAAAAATATTGCAGGGTCCTTCAAAAGCAAGTTTTCATTGAAGTTATTGTTACAATGTGTGTAACTTGTAATAACATGCTCACAGACATTTTACCATAAAAGAATGACTGTAACCATACAGTCTTACATTTTTAAAGCAAACTGCCTCATGTAAAAAAAAAAAAAGAAAAGTAGTACAATACTTTCTAAAAGCCTCTCTTCACCATTATAATTCTTGTAATAAGAAAACAACAGCAAAATACACAATTTCTGTCTCATCTATATTCAGTCCTTACTGCTCCAATCACTTAAAAAGACTGATAAAGTCTGTTTTGCAGTATATCTAAGATCTGAAAAATAGCTGGCAAAATGAGTATTCTGTTCATCCTAACTTCTGACTGAGATTGCCAGCTAGCATGGAATACAGTGAGTTCTACTTAATGTGCCTGGTAAAGGCATAACTGACAAAAGTATTTTCTTAGTTTTCATAATGTAAAGAAACTCTGCAAAGAAAGTAAAATTTGAACATGCACTGCAATACTGTCTATTGCTGAAAAATCTGCAAATAAAACAGAGGCTTATTATAAAGCAGCTAGAACATGAGATAATCTAAATGGAAAAAAAAAATACAAAACCACAAAGAGTTAAAAAGTCAGCTCGAGTTTTCCCAATCCTGATGACGATGCAGTGAACAAGTAAGCCAGAACTAACTGGCCATCATTGTTGATGTGAAAGGGAAGAGGCTGATCTCCAGTTAGCAACCATGGAAATCCCTGATAGAGTGGGAAAGACAATGATAAGGGCTGAAGAACATTGGCGTTTCAGTGAGTACCTTTGCATGAAAACAGCATTGGTCTGGTATCTGTCCTGCTGGAGATTAAAGTAATTTTCATTCCAAAAGTAACCATATTTCCCTGTTGTCTGGGGGAAATTACAAATATGTATTTTCTCCTGCTCACAGAGTCTGCTGAAATCTACATCGACAAAATAGACCTCTGAATTGCAGACACTGGCTGCCTGCAGGAGTCTAAATGGAATCAGAAGTGTCAGTCTTGTGTCCTGCATACTTGACATCAAATCGCTGGAGGCAGCCACTCTTCCCCTGTGCTGAGTGTTCAGTCTCAAAGTTCCCTGCTAGTGAACAGGAGATGACATGGCAGAGAATACTTTCCTATTGAGACAAACTTTTCTGGTTTTATTTCTTTTTTGGATGGAACCAAGTCCTTCAAGTTCTGTATTGACTTCTCTATCACTTGCAATTTTAAGGGAAGCTGGGAAGAAATGCTTGGATACCTGCCACAAGAGCTTTACATACACAGATTCACACACAAATATGTATGATGTATATAGGTTGTGTCGTATGATATTAAGAACTCTATTTTGACACTATGCATTGTCGCTTTCATCCCTGGATCTAAGCGGGGAGAAGACAATCTCTGCCATTTGAAAGGACAGTACAGCCTGTATATTTCTTCCCCTCATAAAAAGCAAAAAACACATTATTTTTTATTGCGTTATCTGTTGAAAGAGATACTCCAAATGAGCTGAAGTGAGTAGAAATCCATGATGACAGATCCAATCATATTGTATTTGTTTTGTGTTAGGGTGCAGTAGGGGCTGGGACCAGTGGGGGTCCCCCAGAGTGGGCACAGCTGGGTCTCACCCAGCCAGCACCTTCAGCAGTGAAACACGCCCTGGGAGCAGGGAATTTGGAATGTCAGCTCACAGCTCAAGGCTGGATCAGTGGAGTCTATGGCTTCTTGCATTCAGGTGTAATAGAGGATTTTGAAAGATATGAATTTGTTTAGAGGCATTGATACCAAACTTTTTCTATCCTGCATGGGGGTGTTGCAACAAATGGCAGCAAAGCTACTCACCTGGGCATGAGTGTTCTTCCTTGAAGAGGCTGTTATGTTGGAATAAGAGCTAACAGATGAGGTGGTATTCAAGTCATCTGTGCTGAGGTTGTCAAGAGTGTCACTGAGGCCACTGCTAACCGAGCTGCTGTCATCCCAGCTGCAGAGAAAGGAACACATCTACTTTACATACTGTGTCTCAACTGGCAGAAGGCATCTCAAAATCAATACATGTGATTACTTATTTTTCAAGTGATTTACCAGAAACTTTTCAGTAATGTTTCCTAAGGTACAATGAATACTGTTCTTCAGACTTTCAAATTAATTATTCACTTGCAGTCAAGAGGTTGCTTGTTCAATTAATGAAAGATGCAGGTATCCTTTAAAAAAATTACCATCAAGCCTAAGTATAAGTCATTAAAATAGTTTGTTTCATGCTTCATTGCAATTGCAATCACATTCAGTACACCGGCAGGGAAATCCATTAAGCTTACCTGATATCACTAGTACAAAAAATTATTAATATCTTAGAGAAGACTTGATGAATTGCCAGACTACATAAAAGTAAAAGGAGTATCTTTTCTGCAGACTAATCCAGTGTCAGCAAAAAGCCAGTATTTTCTAAAGTTTTATTTTCTTGTCTTCAGTATCTGTCTAGCTGGTGCAACGTCATCAAAATAGGGATCCCTGAGAATACAGTCACTGGAGTTGACAGAGAATACATTATGCTTCTCTGAAGAAACACAGTCTGTTTTGCTTTGGGAGACTGAGGCAAAGGATGCAAATGAGAGAGAGGCTGCTCTTACAGAAATGTCATTACCAACTCTCACAGAAGCCTTTTGCATGGAAGGGAGGTTGAGATGTATTTCTCAGACTTTGCTCTACAGAATTGCTTCTCTATGGCATTACATTTTTACTTTTATTTTATTGCTATATACAGCATTATACTTCCAGTATTTTTCTGCATCTCCATCTGTTAATCTTGTTTTGGATTATTCACAGGCCAAAAATTTGAAAAAAATTCACCTTATCACTTTCAGTGGGATTAATCCCTTATAATTTTAGGTATATAAAAGGTATCTCATTTAAGTTAAGTTATCTAGGTGTCCTCTCCAACCAGTATTAAAAAAGTAGCCTCCTCCAGGAGGTAATTCATCCTGGCTTAAAATGTCTTAGGTTTGTGGGATAAACTGTCCACTGAAGGTGCCTCTTTTTGTCTTTTCCTCTCTTAGAGGGGAGAGGGTTGATAAAGCCTCTTCTAGATATGTAACATCTAGCAAGACAATACTAGGTGTTTACACCTGCTGATAAAGTCCCCAATACAAGACAGTGCATTTAGTCCTTGTTTTGTTGTAGCTTGATAAGATGATTTTTAGAAAAAAAAATGCAATTCAATCCCCTAATTAAATTAAAGCTCAGTACTATTGGCACTAGTCATTCAGAGCAAACAAGAAAAATATCTTTGAGTCCTTATTTTACATTTGGAGTTTTGGGAGACAGCAGCAGTGACAGGGAACTGCATGGAACAAAATGTGTGCTGATGCACCAGAAAGTTCATGCACTAGTCTTGTATCATAGCAACTGCAGCAAGCATTACCTTTCTTTTGTAAAAGGTAGAAAATCACATTCGTAAGCCAGCTCAGTGACAAGATAAACATATTTCAGAGGGCAAGAGTTTATTACAGCGCTGCACTTTCCACCACTGGGTACAACGACTACAAATAAATATGTCTTCTGCTACATTTCCAGGTGATAAACACATGAATGATTTAATAATGAAATTATAATGTCATACATAATAGTCTGTCCACATCCATCTAAGAACCATCTCTGAAGCACTAGTCATTTAGGTCTTCTGTGTTTTTCACTTCTAATGTGATGCATAATATCACTGATGATGAAAAGCCATTATATAAAACTCTGTGTACCACATGGGAATATACCTTTAGAACAATGTTAAGACTGAGAACCATAGGGATGGATAAAAATATAAATAATATAAATGTGATTAAGTTGTAGAAAAGGTAGTATTACCTCATTAAAAGCTGCTCTTTAAAAAAGAGAAAAAAAAAATCATAAACCAAATCCAAAAGGATATATATTAGATACTTCCAGAAGGAACATGAGCTTTTAACATATGGCATTCATGTCAAATAATATTTGACCATTAGTTTTCTGAGTCTACCTAAGACCCTGGGGATAAAATTTTACCCTCTTTCCCCATGTCCCTTTGTTATTATACTCTATTTTAATTTTTCATACTTCATTTTGTGCTCACTTTCCTCTGTAAGAGAATTTACATTTTATAAATCCTGGAATAGTTCAGCTGATTCACAAAATATAACTATGTTCTCTACAGCCAAAGTTTTCCGGTAAATATTACTGTGATAATGTGCTCTTTTATGGCTTCTCTGCGGTGTTTCACACTCGGCACACCTCACTCACCAGTGGATTATTAGTGGGTTTGGGGAACACTCATGGCCATCTTGCAAGTTGTATACAAGATCATTCTGACACCTCTACTACTGACCTTTCAGAATCATCACCCTATTTGCCTGGATTTTTTTTTCCTCTTATGATACGTGCTTGAGATGCTTTATAAATCTGGGGGCTTTCATACACCAAAATTTCTGACAATATTCAGTATGCCTAAAAAAACCAGGAATATTGGAACCCACTTTCTTTCTGGCATATTCTAAGGACTGTGCCAGAAACTGATGCCTACTTGACACAATGTTTTATACCAGCCTTTTGAAAAGACATAGTAAAAACCAAAAAACTCCAACAGAACAGACAATAACAGCTACCCCTTTGGCGATGAAGACTGCTGTTTTTACATATTTTAATGTATTATCCAGAGTTGTTTTAACCTGGTCATGCAGCTAAGTTTTTGTATTTCAGTATTTACTGTTTCTACTTTTACGGACGTCTTTCCCAAATCTAGATAGTAGAGCTGCTATCAGAAAGTGTATTTTTGATAATGAAAACCCCTTGCTTATAATTTATAAAAAAATTCTTGATGATTCATATTAATGTATCCTTTAAACTAGTAAAGTCATGACAAAAATATCTGATAAAATTATTGTGCATCACTTTGAGATTGAAAATCCATTTGTGGGAGTCTGCAGCAAACTAATTTTAGCTCTTGTTCCTTCTACCTTCATTAAAACAGTATTCATTTATATTTTAGTATACTGGCTGAGCTTCATCTTTCATTTTTTGTTTTATTTTTCATTTACTTTTCTCTTTTTCACACATTCTACAGAGTCTATAGCAGGTCAGATTAGCACTGCTGCTCATTAAGGCACTACACTACTTTGCTGTTAAAAACCACATTTTAACTACTTATAATGTTGACAGAATTTGCTTTGTTTTTCTTGGTGTCAGACTTAGGCTGATTTAAGAGAAAATGTCAGCAAATGGTGTTCACCTATCTGGGAGACTGAAGCTAAGAGAAATATGCATTGTTTTGACAAGTTCTGGAAACTTGTCCTCTGACAAACCCCTGGATCCCAAGAGGATCTGGAAAAGAATCTTGATATTCAGCAAGACATAATATTTGCATTAAGGATATGAATTTTGCTATTTCTAATAGAAATCTTCTTAAATCTGGATAATTCATAAGTGTCTTCAAAATAATTTCTTGCATGTACCTGACAGATTTTTATTTTCAGAAGCTCAGCTCATTCGGCTTTGTCTGGGTTCAAATCAGCAAACAGAGAACAAGCAAACAGCCCAGTAGACACTGCTCTCATTGAGAATGCATATAACACCACAGTGCTTGTTAAAACAATCACATATTTTTTTCTCTAGGAATGCTTAATTTAGTGCTCGTAAGAGGTCTGCTTTAGGGATGAATCTGAATTTAGCATTAAGGAAAGATGCCTTCTATCTTCATTGAAAGAAGTTGACAGTTCTCTAACAAAAGGGACCATATGAAGCCTGATTGAAGCCCCTGGGTGTACCAGACTCCCTGCAATTTGCAAGGTGACTGCTTTAACCAACCTTTTAAAATAAACTGGACACCATTAAGAGCTTCCAAATTACTTTAGTGGTTCGCATTCAACTTGCAAAGATGTAATGCATGGAAATACATGCTTTGAACCTAGATTTTGCTGCAGGGATACCTTAAAATCTAGGTTACTATCAACTGAAATTGCATGCCAAAACCCAGCACCTCTTTTTTAGCTTTACTACTGCTGTACCTCAGCTTTACATCTGTAAAATGGAGACAAATACATTTTAACAAATGGTAAAAATGGCCACTGTTACAGCTTTCATCCAAAAACATACCCATGTGCTTTGACTTTGCCCAGATTCTTTGCAGAAACTTTGACAGTATGCTTTCTGCTTAGATCTGTGTTTCCCTTTGATGTACTAGTTATGCCAATGAGATAATTTTGCACTATCTAAAGCTCATCCCCTAATTTTGCACTAGCTAAAACTCATCCCCTAATTCTAACCTGCAACTTTCAAATCTGAGCAATTCTTGCCTGTTTTGATGCAAGACATTGTCACTAACTGGCAAAGGCAGCTGTGAATATTGCACACATCCCAGCTCTTCACAAATTGCTCCAAATGCTTCAAGCAACATTTCGCCTCCTTGACCATATCAAATACTCCATAAAGCTGAGAAATCCACAATTTGCTATCTACACAGTTGGTTAGTCTCCACTATCACCCTTTGTCTCACTTTCATTAGTGTGTGCTAGTACTGATAAGATCTCCTCCCATAATCTCTTCATTGACCTCCCTACCACATAATGTTCTGGAAATAGCAAGGTGTTTGAAGGCAAAACACGGTGCTTAACATCAGTATGTAGAGCTGAACAAAGATTACAAACACATTCCAACAAGTATCCTCTAATGGAAAGATAAACTGCACTCAGCTGTGCTCATGAAACTTTTTCACTTGCTTTACACAAGTATCTGGATGTTTGGTTTTTTTTTTTTTGAGTTCACAAACTTAAGTATTGAATGAAATGAGGAATATTTTATACAAAATAAGACATTATTTAATACATCAGGCAGGCAAGTAATAGCGCTTTAGGCAAAGATACAATTTGACTATAGCCTACATAATGAGGACCCGCAGATAATATGCAAGACATTTTTCTAGATTTTTGCATGATGCCTGAAAGTAAAAATGCACTGGATTAG